TTCAGAACCTTCCCAGTCTTCCCTTTTCTCTTGACCTGCTCCCTCTGCACAAATCCTCATTCACTTGTGAGTCTTGTGGGCCTTTCTTGTGTTATCACATGGTTAAAGACTCCATTTCCACTGCATTCAATTTAAGTACATGGTTGACAATCCATCCCTTACTATTATGGTTCTTTGCAGAACTATGCTTTTATACACTGTGATTTTCACTGCTTTGATCAAATTTTCATTCCTCACAACAAACCACACTACTATTTCAACAGCATTGTATATCTTAACATTTCTCTATCCATTTCCCCATCTTTAGTCAAAATTTAACCAAGGTACACAAATTAATCTATTTGCTCTCCATTTATCTGTAATATGCAATTGCTGACTCCAGTTTTTCCTGTCAGACACAATTATCTTAGTCTTTGATACAGATCCATATTCATTGTTGCATCATACTGTTGTGTGTTTTGAGAATAGTTAAGATTTATTCCTTTAAGACAGGGCTGTATTATGGTGACAGTTTCAGCCTACACACGCACACACAGTAAAAGACAGTGAAGGCACAGCAAATTATTTGCTCAGCTCTGGCACCATGCTAACTTTTGTTAGTCTGAATGCTTTATAAATACTTTGCTATAAGTGGTTTTCTTATTCATGGTATTCTGCCACCTTTGCATCACTTTACATTGCTTACTGGCAAAAGGGTTAAGATTCATTAACACCATACAGTTTTCAAATGTGATAATAAATTATTATTAAATTATCTCTGATTCAATCCTTGATGAAGAAAGATCATTTTTATCATACCCCACCATCTAAAGCTGGTGCTACTATCTGCCACATAATGTTAGCTGGTATGAAAGTACCCACTACATTTTGCTCCAATCACTTCACCCAAGAGAAACTATATACATATATAGTATTAATGTTACTTAGTTTGGGTAATGAAACATCTGCAAGAAAACAACCAATATATATTATATACTATATGTATACAGACAAACAGACAAGAAGCATTGGCTCTAATCATAGAGATTAGATTGGTGTTTTTAAATCCAGACAGACCACAAGATATCCTGATCATTTTCCCTGGAGATAAAGCAACTGCTTCCTTTTTACCACCCTTTATGCAGTGCTGGAACAGCCACCCACTTCAAGTTTAAATAAATCAATATACTCAGGCAGAGGATTATACATTCCACAAACCTGTAAGTGCTTGAATCATTTACCTACATTAGTTCCTGACTGCACCAGCTGAAGTCCTCTTATGTTAGAAGTATGCCAGAATCTTTCCAGCAGCCACACCCAATGCAAATATTATTTCCAAGAACCAAGAATCTGGCCCCACACCCAATGCAAACATTACTTCCAAGAACCTAGCCTTCTCATGAACCTAATAAGAAGCCTCCATAATATTGATCAAGTCAGCATTAATTTTCAGGCCACAAAAGCTGCTTCCTGTGTAGAAATAGTATTTTGATTCTAAAGGTAAGCATCAAATTATATGACTCACATCCAGGCATGATAAGAATAAATATATGTGAATTCTATTAAAAAGACCATCACAACCTACCAGATGTATTTGTGGTCCCATGGTAAACAATCATAACCATTATCATTTTTGCTTCAAACATTTTGCTGATTAAACAACTTTGTGGTCTGAAATTTGTAGCAGTTGTATCAATTTCTTCTACATGGCTATATAGTATATAGTAATTTAAACCATGCTAAAAGAATGTATGTTGACTATGGAATCCTGTAAATCCCATAGATATATATTCAGGGTCATTCTGAGATTTATAAGTCTCTGTATCCATGGGAAAAGTTGTCCATGTAATGATATCCACTGGGTTAAAAATAAAACCATGTGGATATTGTTTCAGTTGAACTTGGTGTGGGAGACAAGCCAGGGCCTGTTAAGTCTATCACATGTTTGCTGTTAGTTAAATTGATTGTGTAAATAAGGTCTCGTAATTTAATTTGGAAAGGGGAAAGCTCATGGTATTGATGCCACTGAATACACAGAATATTGGCTTTAACTGGTTTCTTAAATAATGTATTATATATAGGTGCATATGGAGGATAGTTTTATGCAGATAAGGTCTATGAAGACAGCAAAGCTGGGAAATAAGTCTTCCTGTTTTATGCTGATTAATAAAGAACATAGCTATCTTAATTCCTGGACATTTTGCTCAATAGCATCAGTTAGTTCAACCCTCATTAAATTGGTGTGTTCAAAATGTGCAACTCTCAGAATGAATCGTCATTGCACACTCAGCATATGAAGAAGCCATCGGGTTAGAAAGTCCAGATTAAACTGTACTCAACTTCCACAGATAGTTCCTTACTTCAGATTTAGGGAACATGAGTTCAATGGCAGCTTAAGAAGGGGAAAGGGAGATTTTAGATAAGAAGTTCTCACTAAGCCTGTCTTCATTGTGATTGTTGGCCATTTGTTTGTCCTCTTCTTCTAATTTGTACAGCTGCCCAGGAATGATACATGAGCCAAATGAAAGCTGCTATTCCGCTACATTTACTCTTCATTCACTTTAGAGGTGATATAAAATTTGGAGATTTGTGGAGTTCCATTGTGTAATACTAGAATCTTTTCTGTTGCTTCATTCCAAGTAAATGCAATTTACTCCTAGTAGTGGCCATGAATATTTAGATTACATGAATATATAATAACTCAAGAAAAATTAAATAATCTTTTTTTAACTAAATGGCCTGGACTGCAAAAATTGAGTTTTTAAGTTCCCAGCATTGAAGTCAATGGGAAATACAGGAAAATACAATTTCTGGACTTATTTCAAAGCAGGAACCTGTTATTTTGCTATGGTTATTGAACAAAGTAATAATACAGCTTTCAATTGAAGCAATGTTTATGACAGGTTATAATATAGAATAGGGATCTTCAAACTTGGCTCTTCCTGGTTGAGGAATTCTGGGAGTTGAAGTCCAAAAGTCTTAAAAGGGCCAAGTGTAAAGACTCCTGATATAGAATATCCAAGAATAAAGCAGAGGTTGAATGTTTATGCTCACTTCTACACCATCTTATCATCCCCCATTCTTTCAAAATAGTTCAAAACAACAAAGATTCCTTCTCAGTTCTGCTGATCTCAAAATGCTAAGAACATCCAACAGGTTCTTGTTGATCAGTGCTTTCACCGTATCAACAACAGTGCAGTCATCATCCAATCAGTATCCAACTTGTAGTACTTCCTGATGTAACAAAAAATCCATTAATTCTAATTCTATAAAAAAAGGGAAATAAAATAAATTGCTAGCATGCCCTCCTATCCTAGTCCCTTATTTTTTGTTCACATTATGTATCTTTTTATATAATATATATCCATTTTATCTATATGTATCTAAGGGATGGGTAATTGGAAATTATTCTAGCTGCACATTTTCTGTCTACATTAAAAATCCTCTTGTACATTTTAATGAAAGGATACAAATCAACATTTTTGCAATTATAGCTTACAACTATAATGGATCCCACCCATCTCAGTCATAAGTCATGACAGTCGTAAAATGGGTCACCCATGTGACCGATCTGATTTTACTTTTTTTGCAGTAATTGTTACGCAAACACCATGATGTTATACAAACCAATGGTTCACTATGGCCAGTAAATGGAAAACCTAATGCCAGTTTTCAGCAAAAACTTTGTAAAACATGGTCACATGACTATGAGATGCTACAAATGGCTGTAAATAAAGACTATTTGCTGAGTTCCAGAAATAATGTCATGTGACCATGGGGGATAGTCATTGAACCTTCGGAACTGGATTGTGAGCATTCCCAAACAAGTCCATCAAACTTTGAACAATCACTAAGGAAAAATTGTAAGTCAAGGATTTCCTGTATACTTTTTCCAATGCCATATGGTTGGATTTTTTTAATTAATTAATTACATAGGAGATCTATATTCTACACACAGTCTATAGCCAGGTGCCATGAAGCTCAGAACCAAAAATAATCTGAGGCAAAAAAAAAAAATGCCAGTGGGAAAATGAACCACCTATAGATTGTCCAAAGGTGCAATACTTTAAATAAAATATAGTTTTCCTCATGTTATTTTCCCTAGTCTTCACTGAGGACATTGTGAAATCTGGAATGGTGCAAAAGGACTCTTTGGAAGTGCCCTATGACTTATAACATTTATGCTCACAAATAAGATTTATACTGCACACAAGTGTCTATTTAAAAGGATAGTTTGGGGAAAATAATTGATGTCAATGTTTCTTAATTGATAACTGTGTGAGAAGCAATTTATTTTACAAGTTTAAATATAAATGTGCTTTTATTATCATTGTTTGTGTAGAAAAACATTTGCAATGCATAAAGTGGAATGAATGTAATTATGTTAAAGTTTTTTTCTAAAATATTTTTATTTTAATTATGTCGCTGTGCAATTTCATAGGCATTTAAATTAAATTATTTAGGATGAAACACATCTCATTTTTTAATAAGCTCCTGTTAATGGTAGTTTTCAAATGGCACCCAGATATTTTCTTAAATAGGATCAAGAGCTCCCAGAAAACTGCATTTGCAACCAAACTTACTCTAATTATAGAGATGATCAACAATTTCCTACAAAGAGTAGGTATGATGATCATGATTTTGTCTTACTAACTTTTAGCATAACAATAATTATCCATTTATTTACATTTTTCATTTGGCAAGGATGTCCTTAATTTATACATTATTTTCTGAAAAGAATCTGATGCAAGCTATCTTGTGGCTAGAGAGTAAACTTGTAGCAGCCATTCATATAAAACAAGTAAGAACTTGGCAGGGATTTTCTTTCTATTTATGTCTCTGATATTTATATTTGAAAGATTCCCCATTGGTCCCACAGAGAGGGGAAGCAATGGGCACTATATGAGTCATTTGCATTGTAAACTAATCTTTGTTCTCAAAATGTCAAGGGCTGCCTCACTTGTCGTTGATGTTGCCATTCAAGTCTTTTTCCATGACCTGGGGCAGCCCGCTTAAACACTGGATGTTGAAAGAACACAAATATAAATAATATCAGTACAATAGATGAACTGGATCAGGAGTCTGTTTAATGACTGCTATAGGACTCAGACTAGAATGGAATGGAAAGGAATCAGACTGGACATGGAATGGTATGGAATGGAATGTTCTTTAATAAGTCTTATAGTATAACTACTGACATTAGCCATATTATCAGCTGCTCCTTCTGGGTGATTTTGTTTCCCAAGCTGCTGAATATATTGGCTCAAGCTTCATGGTGATTTTAATAAGCTTCTGCAAGCAACTGCTGCAACTTTTAGATTTAGAATCTGGTGGATTCTCTCTCCTCATCTTGTTGGCAAAACACTTGATATTTTTGGTAGGAATGTGTACAGAACTACACATCCATATAACTCTTAGATCAACATTTTGTGTATGGTTTAAATTAATCACATTTTATTAATAGTTCTCCTGGTGTTTTTATTTATTTGTGTCCTAATTTAAAGTCTTATTCTTTCAAATGAACAATTTGTTTATGAGTTTTTAAGATAAATTTTGAAACTAACCAGGTAAATCAATTTTCTTGTCATGAAGAACTATTCTTTTCTTATTATTTTGATTGTGTTGGTCAAAGACAATTCCATTTTCAAAACAGTGAAAATGTCATTGCAAATTTATGTTAGTTAAAACCATTCCAATATAGCTTTAATTAAGCAATCCTATTGATCAAGCAAAAATGAATAATGTGCACTTAAATTGAAGATAAATAAATTGTTATAGTAAGGTTTTTTTCTCCATTTCCTCCATCCTATTGCTTTCCTTTTACAATATGGCGAAATACTATATTAGGACCACCATATTTGGACTACAACAATCCAAAGGATATCTAGATGGTAGAAAAGAGAAACATAAAACTCTTTGCTGCTGTCTAGTGGCCATTCAGTTTTTTGCAGCCAAAATAGGACAATATTATTGAATGACAACTTTGTAGTTTAAGTGACAGATTATTTGTGGATGAAGATATTAGTTGAAGAAAGATATTAATTTAATTTCTGATTTTGTTATGAAATTTTTGGTATTCAGAGTTTGAACATTTAAACAATGAGTCAGAGTCAACATATTGCCTGCAACAATCTGGATCCTCATTTTACCAACCTCAGAAGGATGGAAGGCTGAATCAACCTTGAGTTGGTAAGAGCACAACTTTGAAGATAACCTTCAAACTTTAAAGTTAGCTGTCCTAGTTAGCCTGATATTTGGCAAAACACATTTGCTTCCAAGACTTTACTATAATGGCAAATATAATCCAGTTCTATGATGCTTTAAATAAACAGGATTTGGTTATGCTTGCTGTGAATGTGGGGAGGAGAATATATTGTATCCATCTGAAAAAAGCTACTTAGTTACTAATTGTATGATGCAACAGAGTGGACAAGAAGTAGTGACATCAAAATTGGTAAAATATGGGATGATATCAAACCAGGAGGGATCAGAAAAAGTGCCAGAAATTTGGAACATCTTGAATGACAGAAAAATTAATACCTCACTTCTAAAGCACAAAGTGACAAAAAGAATTGTTGTTCTACTGTTCTTAATTCAGGAGGATTGTTTCAAAGAAAGAGATTTACCATTTTTCTAGTCTATTGTGTTACAGAAGAATTACAAACATGATGGGATGTCAACTTGTAACAGTCTGTTCTTTCTTCTTCTCCCAACTCTCATAAGCTTCTTTTACCATGACATTTCTACCATCCATTTTTGTCTTGAAAACATTGGCTGACTTGGGGATAGTTGATTCGTTCTTTTATGCATAACACTGTCAGCAAATAAAGAAAGCATTTCTTTTCAAGAGCCTGCATAGGTGGCTAGCCTAGATATTTTCTGCTTTATTTACTGAGTGCTTAGCAACCTGCTTTTCTGCATTTACTAGTGCGTTCAATCCCACCTCCTAGAAGAACAGCAGGCTTCTTTTATCTTTGCTTCATTCTCATTATTGTGGATCTTTCTTATGTTATTATACCATTTGATTGAGGCTCAAACCTTGCATTCAGTGCTAAAAACAGTTTTAATACTCACTTTCTTTGAAAATAGGTGCCATGAAAGTAGGAAAAGCTAAATTGAAAGCAATTTGACCTATTGCAGCAGGGAATTGCACTCTTAGATTTCTCCTGAAAGGGTAGAAAGGAGTGAGAAAGAAGCAGATTCTCACAGCTGAAACCACTGCCAGAATGAATCCTACAAGCTGGAACATGTCTTACATGTGGCTATACTTGAAAAGTGTTTGAAAGCTGTAATTGTTGCATGGGCAGCCACTAGGCTGCTAACTAGGACAACTTACCACTATTACATGATGTCTATATTGAAAGATTTCTACTTTCAATCATCTGCTTTCTAGGCACAATTTAAAATATCAACCTTGATGTTTTAAAGACTTAAATAGCTTAAAGGCTGCTTACCCAGTAGATCTCCTTTCTTATTAGGAAAGAACAGATATGCTATTTTGTTCTTAAAAGGCCTCTCTGAATATGCTTCTGCTTTCAAAACCCTGTTTATCAAGCAACTTAAAAGAAGAGCTTTGTTTCTTCGTTAAATTTATATAGCTGCCCATCTCATTGAAAGTGACTCTGAAAAACAAAACAAAACATATAAAATATAAAAATCCTTATTAATAAATATCATAAAAGCAAGAGATACAAAACCATAGGAGAGGGAAGATAAAAATGGCCACCTCCACAATGGAGTCATCTGAACAAGTCTCTGGTTGCCCTAGGCTGGACAACATAGCCAGGTGGCGAGAACTTTTTGGAATATCAATGGAGATGGAGCTAATCTAAATTTGAAGGGGAAGAATATTCTATTAGCCTATTGCCATGGCAGAGAAGGCACCTCTCCTTGGACCTGCCAATGGTACTCACAACATGCCTAGTCTGATAGATCTAATGGGGTGGGCTCATGTAACTGGGGATAGGCAATCTCTGAGATTGTCCAGTTTCATGCTATGAAGAGCTTTAAAGATTAAAATCAACATCTTGAATTGGACTTAGAAGCAAACTGGCAGCCAATTCAGCTCACAGAGAAAAAGTGTAGCTCCAGAGAGCCTATAACTGCTTATGCCATTGCTTATGCCAGCTGAAGTTTCCAGATACTTTTCGAGGGCAGTAGTTGAGTCAGGAACTGTCAAGGGTATGAGCTTACTGTAAGTAGGGCCTGCCAGTCCAGAAATGGGTGCAAGTGATGCACAAGACAAAGCTGTGCAAAGTCCTTCCTAGCCATGATTGCCACCTGTTCAATGAGCAGAATTTCTGTCTAGAAGGATGCATAGATTGCTCACAGGAACTATCTGAGATCCAGCATCAAAGATGACAAAAGTCCTGGAATTAGTGGGCCCACAGTCCAAAGGCATATCCTCAAAGTCTCCAGGCACTGGGATATGGCATTGTGTAATGTTGCCCCTTGAGACCTACAGTTGACCACCATCCACTTAACCTTCAGAAAATCTGAAAAAAACAGCAGTTTAGCCAGGATTCTTAAAGTCAGTGAATGTAATATCCATGCTTTAGTTTATTTGTTTTTATTTTTCATATTCTATAATACTTGAGGTTTTAAATTGTAAGACATAAGGAGGACTGATTCTGAATAAAAAGGTAGCATATAAGTAAATATGCAAATAAAATCTATGCTATGCTGTTTCCATGTCTAAATAATCTTTTGCTGTTTTAGGGATGGTATATCTTGAGCCACCAATCTAGTTCACAATAGACCCAACTCATGACTACCATGCTTTGTTTCCCTCTTTCTTTAGAAGAGAATTACTACTGAAATTTCTGTACGGCATATTCAAAATCAAATTTCCTCTTTCCATTCAATCACTAAGGCCAAGTCCATTGTCTTAGTCTTCAGAGTAAGACAGGTGAAAAAAATGGTTCATCACCCCAAAGATGTTAAATTGAAGCTTAAAATAATATTGTAAAGGTCAGAATCTAATCAAACTAAATATATTAAATTAAACATTAGCCTGCAAGAATTCCATGTTTCAGCTAATTTTCACAAAGCAAAGGGACACGGTCGAACCAGAACTGCAAACATAATCTTGCTTGGTTTGGTTAGTCATAGCTACTGTATTTCACTTGGCTTTGGAAAATAGAATATGGAAACAAATTTTTGCAGTATTTACAAGATTCAAACAGTGATAGTCATCCAGACCTTTCAGCATGGATACATGCTCTGCCTGAAAAACCATAGAATCATAAACTTCCTGACAGTTAGAACAATTAACCAGTGGAACAACCTGCCTCCAGAAGTGGTGAATGCTCCAACCCTGGAAGTTTTTAAGAAGAGACTGGACAGCCATTTGTCTGTAATGGTATAGGGTTTCCTGCCAGAGCAGGGGGTTGGACTAGATGACCTCCAAGGTCCCTTCCAACTTTATTATTACTATTATTATTATTATTATTACTATTATAAACCAAAGAGATATTCACTGCTCATGTTTCTGTCTGTCTCAAACTTCATTCTGTTCTTCAGTTTTCTGGTGGAATTTACACACTGAGACTGCAGAAAGCAAAACCAAAATAGTAGTGGAGTAGCTTCACCTTTGCTTTGTTATTTGTTATGACTTTACTCTCTTCACTGAGTAGATAGTATGTTGAAGGGTTTTTTCTATTTTATTTTCAGCATATATAAAGAAGTTCTTTTTATTACTCTTACCATTCTTTGCTAACCTCAGCTCATTTCAAGCAGTCAAGCATTTCTTGTCAGAAGTTCTATAGTTCTGGCTGAATGCTTCCTTTGTGACTAAGTTCTTTCTCCAGTTTTTGTTCTCAGATTTTTCACTAAGTTTTCTGTCTAGCCTTATTGGCTTTTTATGTTATCCTCCATTTTTTCTTCTTAAGAATTGTCTGTTGTGCTTTTACTGTCTAGGGAAACTTATTCACTTTGAACCTTTTCTAATTTCTGGTGTGAGATCTTGCTTACTACTGAGAACTATAATAGTAGTAAAGTTGGAAGGGACCTTGGAGGTCATCTAATCCAACCCCCTGCTCAGGCAGGAAATCCTACACCATTTCGGACAAATGGCTGTCCAGTCTCTTCTTAAAAACTTCCAGTGTTGGAGCATTTACTGCTTCTAGAGGCAGGCTGTTCCACTGATTAATTGTTCTCCCTGTCAGGAAGTTTCTCCTTAGTTCTAGGTTGCTTCTCTGCTTGATTAGTTTCCACCCATTGCTTCTTGTCCTGCCTTCAGGTGCTTTGGAAAATAGCTTGATTCCCTCTTTTTTATGGCAGGCCCTGAGATATTGGAATACTGCTATCATGTCCCTCCTTGTCCTTCTCTTTGTTAAACTAGACATATCCAATTGTAGCAACCGTTCCTTATATGTTTTAGCCTCCAGTCCCCTAATCATCTTTGTTGCTCTTCTCTGTACTCTTCCTAGAGTCTCAACATCTTTTTTACATTGTGGTGACCAAAACTTGATGCAGTATTCCAAGTGTGGCCTTACCAAGGCATTGTAGAGTGGTATTAATACTTCACGTGATCTTGATTCTATCCCTCTGTTAATGCAGCCTAGAACTCTGTTGGCCTTTTTGGCAGCTGCAGCACACTGCTGGCTCATATTTAGGTGATTGTCTACTAGGACTACGAGGTCCCTCTCACAGTTACTACTATTGAGCATGGTGCCACCTATGCTGTACTTGTGCATTTGGTTTTTCTTGCCTAAATGTAGAACCCTGCTTTTTTCACCATTGAATTTCATTTTGTTAGTTAGTGCCCAGTGTTCAAGTCTGCCCAGATCCTTCTGTACACCCCAGATCCTTCTGTACACCCCAAGGTTCTCAAGGAACTGGCAGATGTGATCCTTCTGTATCTTAAGCCTGTCTTCTGGACTGTTGGCTATTCCTGCCAGCTTGGTGTCGTCTGCAAATTTGATGAGTTCCCCATCTATCCCTTTGTCCAAATCGTTGATGAAGATTTTGAAGAGCACTGGGCCAAGAACAGAGCTCTGGGGCACCCCACTACACACTTCCCTCCATATAGATGCAGTTCCATTGAGGACCACTCGCTGAGTACGGCCGGTCAGCCAGCTACGGATCCATCTGGTGGTGGTTCTGTCTACCCCACATTTTTCTATCTTGTCAAGTAGTAGGTTGTGATCTACTTTATCAAATGCATTACTGAATTCCAAGTAAATTATGTCCACAGCATTCCTCTGATCCACTAATTTTGTCACTTGGTCAAAGAATGCAATAAGATTTGTCTGGCATGATCTATTTTTGACAAACCCATGTTGGCTTTTAGTAATGATTTTGTTTGCCTCTAGGTGTTCGTTGATTCATTGTTTGATTATCTTTTCCAGGATCTTCCCAGATATTGAGGTCAGGCTGATAGGTCTGTAATTTCCTGGATCCAATTTTTTTTCCTTTTTTGAGGATGGGAACTACATCAGCTCTTTTCCAGTCCTCTGGTAGTTCCCCTGTGTTCCAGGATCTTTGAAAAATATAGTCCAGTGGCTCCGATATTACATCTGCCAGTTCCTTGAGAACCTTGGGGTGTAATCCATCTGGTCCTGGCGATTTGAACTCATCTAGGCTGGACAGGTGCTCCCTAACCATTTTCTTGCCTATCTTAGCTTGTTTTTCTATTTTGTTTTTTATGGCACTATTTTTGATAGGTTGGTCTGTTTTTTCCCTTTGTGTAAAGACAGATGCAAAAAACGAGTTAAATAGTTCTGCTTTCTCCCTGTTGCTTGTCACCTTCTTGCTCTGAATCGTCTTTTAAAGGAGTTTGATTATGCTCAGTTTTCGTTTCCCTTGAAATCAGGCACTCCATAAATTCCATGAGAGTTGCTACTACTTTTACTTCATCAACCAAGTCTTTCCTTCTTGATGGGGATGACAGAATGCACATCTGTATGATTTATTCTGAGCCTACAGTTCAAGATTTCTTGGCACATAAGTTGAAATTATTTGTGAAGGCACTGCATTTAAAATGATTTAGACTATGCATAGATTTCAGCAGATGACATTGCAGATCCATTCATAAAATGAATCATAGAGAATGTATCGCCTTCTTTCACAGTTTGCAAAGAAAAGTATGAACACCCATAAAAATAACATATTTGCTAATGGGTAGTAACAGCCATTTCATCACTCATCTAAATCTGTAACATAGCTATTTATGCAGAATTAAAAGCTCTCTTCTTTCTCTGACTCTGTGAAATACCAGTCTGAAAAGATGGAAAATAGAAAAATGTGGTTCATTGGCGCTTAAAATAACTGTAGCAAGGTTAAGCCTTTACTCCTAGACCTGTTTATTTGAGAAAGAGCTACATTAAACAAGAGTAAGATTGTAATGCAGACAAATGATTTGTAATTACAGATGGAGCTGATTAAGTTGTACTTTACAATACTTGTAGTACTTAAGAGTACGGTCACTGAATGAACGAAATGGTGGAAAGGTCCACCATTTATATTTTATTTCTTAGATTCACTTCACAGTCTTAAGCCAATAATTTTATAAGTCAGAATTATTATAATCAGAAGCATCTTCTCCAGAAGAGCTAACATGACCCAAGATACTTCTCTGATGCCTCCAGCAGTTTTGTCCTTTTTAAAAAGCTCTTTTAATAACAGAAATAAACATCAACATCATATTTATTTGCACATTTTTCACTGGAAATTTCCAGAAGGTTTGCTTTTTTTATTGTGATAGAAATTCTGTGATTGCTGTGATAGGCACTGCCAATCTCAAATACGCCCTTCACTCAAAAGATTGTTCTTCTAGATGTAAATAATCAATTATTTTAAGATAGCATTAAGACTGAATTTTTGCTGTTAAGCCATTAATGCCTAAAAATATTTTTTCCTTTAATATTTTGCAGGGTTCAGAAAAACCTTTTGCTAACTTGCTAAACAAGACAACTGAAATTTAAGGGGACAATAAGTTACTCAGTCAAATCAATGCTGGAAAAAATAAGAGGGTCAGCATCAAGCTGTTTTGATCAGCCAATACATTATTTATAGTATTCCCAAAACCTTTTTCTCGTTGTTTTATAGAAAATAAATTAGGGTAATAATGATCTTCCAAGAAATTTAAGGTATTGCCCTTGCTGCTAGGATCAAGGTGCACATTAATTTCAGTTCCTAAAGTGACTGAATCTATTCTTGTGTTTTTAAAGCAATGTCTGAAGTGAAACTTACTCAAAATTCACATTTTTCTGAATTTGTAATGCCTTTTTGTCATATTAAATCATATATAAAGGGAAAAAGTATCTTGAGAAATGTATACTCATGAAAACATGAGTATACATGTTTTCATGAGTATACATGAAAGATACTGTATATACAGTATCTGTCTCCTGAACAAATGCATAGTCCTCTAGCAGAGATCTATTCAAATGCTGAGTGATTAGCAACTACAGAAGAATTTCAAGGACACAAATGTAGCACAGTTCAGGAAAAATACATTGTGTAAACGATACAAGATGTTCACAAGCCTTTGGGGCAACATTAGGTCTAGTGCAACTTGTCTTTATAGAAAGCAAGGAAACAACAAATCAAACAGGCTGGTGATGTTTTTAATCTGTGATTAGGAAGCAGGTTCAAGAAAGAGAATGGGAAAATGGATTCTATGGCAATGATATTCTAGTCTAGAGCTAAAAACAGCCTTTTCCAATCAGGAAATTCTAGAAACATTAGTGTCAATATATCTTATTTACCCCCATCACTGATTTTGTTCATATAAAGAAAAGCCAATCAATGTGATACAAACTCACTGGTTTGTCCTGAACAGCCATCCTGCTGTTAAAATTGAACTATTGAGTTGCTAATATTATTGAAGAAAATGATGACTAAATTGAAAACAAAACAAAAGCTCATAACACTTTTCTTTAGAACTAAAACAGTATCTATTGAGCAAGTTATTCCTTATTTATTTTTACATATCATTGTTCTGTATTTCTAAGTTGTTAAACTATCTCAGTGAATTTAAATGATCTTCTACTGTATATCTCTGCAAATTTCAGAGTTTGGGAGCTACTCATGTGACCTGACCAGAGCTGAATCTGGTTTGGTCAATGGGGGACATTATAATGCTGCAGCAATATCATAGCTTACATTCTTCCTGAATGGTACAATAGATTAGAGACCAACCGTGTTTCCCAGAAAATAAGACACACTCTTATTTTTATTGCCTCCAAAAGAGGTACCAGGTCTTATTTTCCGGGGAGTGTCTTTTCCATGGTCTCACCTTGTGGTGGTGGGCGCCCAGTCAGCCCACTTCTTCTGTGGCAGACGGAAATTCCTCTGCGGCTGAGAATGGAGCTCTGGATTGACGCATGCAGTGCCCCCCAGCCTGCATTTCACCTCAGAGGCCTGACAGGCCTCTGCAGCCGAGAACCAAGCTACAGATCTTGGGTGCAGAAGTCTTTCCAGAAGGCCTCTGATGGTGAAATGCAGGCCGGGGGGCACCGCAGAAGTAGGCCAGTGAAGTGAGGCAGGTGTCAATTCATGGGAGGTCTGGCTGCAATGGTAAATGGGTGTGGGGTGTGTAGGGCAGCTATACCCCTCACTCCTGCCCTAGCTTGATTTTTAGGTATGCACTAAATCTCCAAACTAGGGCTTATTTTTGGAGTAGGGCTTATATTAGGGCCACCCCAAAAATCAAGCCAGGGCTTATTTTCGGAGTAGGTCTTACTTTCGGGAAAACATGGTATTATAATGTAATACGTTGGAACTTACTGTAAATACCAAATGTTGATATGTTTGTATGCATTTATTATTTATTTATTTAAATTTATTAGCCACTGAACTCCAATAGATCCCAACAGTTTATTACTAAACCAATAGTTTATCTCTAGTGATCAATTTATAGTAAAAGAAAATGCTTCTGTCAATCTAATATGCATGTTTTTTGGGAGAGGAGGGAGACTGTAGCTCCCCCTGCTTTTGCATGTCTTTGTATCTGATCCACAATGTGGTGCTGCAGAAGGGAAGGTCAAGGCAAAAACTTGGTATGTCAGCTTATGAGATTTAGGATGCCATATAATTACTTCTTCCTTTTCTGCAGCTGTATCTCCTCAAAAGGGACCATCAGAATGCCTGGACTTTCAGAGAAGAAATAATGGATTGAAAGCAGCCCTGAAAAGTGGACCTGACAACGGCAGCAAAATAAAAAGCTGAAGAGTTGTCTGGCTCTTTAATAATTCCCCTCTGGACAAGGAGAGAATTGGGACCATGCTTTAAGTGCTCAAGACAGCTGCACCCTGTGAGAAGACAACAAGTTAGCAGTCTTTGGCAGGTTTTAGAGTTCTGGGAAAGCAGAGGAATAAATGTATTGCTCAATCCATGGTCAGCACCTTTGAAACTAAGTTTGCATACTCATTACTTTCAGAAATTGCTTGTTAACTGCTATTCGACTTTAGAAAATTTTGGATTGATAGGTTTGATTGCACTGGGTGAATTTCCTTTAATCCTTAGTGAAAGAAGTTTTAACTATAAGATTAAGAACTTTTTTTTCTGGTATAAGCACCAAAAGAGTAATTGAAACTAAAAAAGCTACAAATGGACTAGGATACAGATAAATTTGAAATAAGATTTTGGAATTAATTATAAAGAATCCTTCCTGTGGTAAAGTGCTTTAGTTTTGGTTAAAAATAATAAGATTTTAAGAAGTGGACCCAGAGAACTAGAAGGAACTAAAGATTACAATTAAAAGAGGATTCTTAAACGCAACCTACAAAAACTCTTAAACTCAACAGAATGAAGCAAAATATTTTAACACTGGACATCTAGAAGGATATTTTTGAACAATGGACCCAGAAGTTAATTTTAATTCTGTCTAATAAATGTTATGGAAGAGAAACAGGTTCTACCTGACAAGACTGAGGCTGATATGAAAATGATATTTACACTGGACATAGAAAAGGAATACACATAGTGTTTTGCAAAATAGGGAACACATGATAGTGATTTCTATCCCATCTCATACTAATGCTATTCTGTCATTGAAGGAAAAAAAGGCTCATTTCTTGGTAGCATTTTTAATATTTAGTAAGGTACTTTGCATGGTTTATGTCATTATTTAAAAACAAAATATTAGTATGATTTCTTACAATGCTGAGTATGTTACAGAGGCATCCATAAGATCAAAATCTTTCATTAAAATGATGGAAACAGTGTCATTTCATCATGACACAAGCTCTGACCCTTTTGTGCATGATGTCATGATTCACAGACAAAACAAGTGGTGCTGATGTCAAGATGGCAAAACCCTTGCCCACCTTTACCCCCAGGAATTATTTCTGACAGCTTTACCAAAAAATGTCTCTTGAAATATATTCTCCAGTTCCAAGCTTGGGATTTTAATAAAGGTACCCTCAGTGAACTTTGATCCCTTTATCCTTATCCCATTCCCCCTTTCTTCCCTTCCTTTCTGAATTTAAACCATGCACACACTAGGAGACATGCAATGACTTGGATAATCAGAGGGGAAGGTGGAACAGGATGTAGCAACAGCTATATGCACCATTGGATCAGGATGTTCTGCAGTTCAAAAATAAGCCCTATGCAGGATATTTATTCTTCTTTAGTAGAGATAAAACAAAAAGTGATAATGCTATTATGGTGCTTGCTAATTATTTTATCCCTGAAACTTTTTTTATTTCCTGAAGTGAATTCAGATTTTTGCAGATAATCATAAACCACATTTTTATATAAGGACTATAAGTAAAGGAGCCCATCAGGTTCCCTGTTATTAAGGACTTTGGGAACAGTGGATCAAAAAGTGGTATATAAAAATGAGAAATAAAAGTAACACAATAAATAAATACCTTGGGGGTGGGGAGGAAACTGTTCTATACTGTCCAAAGCTCAAAGATAATATTAAGCAAACAGCTTGCATTATTTCACAGACTTAATTAATGCTGAATATAAACTAAACATACAATTATGTTTTAATTATGTTTGTGGGGACCTTTGAAAATATTTAGTAGATCTGGCCTAAGAATCAAATCCACATTGCCCTGGAAACACTGCTTGGTCAAAATCATGCTGCAAAAAAACAAATGTGTCAGAGAAAATATTTAAGAACTAGAATGTCACCATATCAGCAAAGTATTTTACAGTACCTCTATAGGACAATAAAAGCAACTATAAATATAAAGCAAAATCAAATCTAATACCTTATTTGAATTCATATTCACTCAGAGAATTGCTTTCTTTTTGGAATTAATCTTTCCACAAATTATTCCACAGTTAACACTTAAGAAAGGTTTCATTCAATAAATGGAAAATATACAATGCAAGTTCATGTTTTTATAAGCATTTTGAGAAATCAACAGATCAATGAACTTTTTGTATATCTGTTTGGATGGAAAGATCAATCTGTTGTCAATCTGCATATGTAACCAGGGACCCAAATCTTGTTTTATTGTTTTATATCTCTCTTAAAGACTCTGTAAAATAATGCAAGCTGTATGCATGTTGATTGGACAACATATTAATCAGTTCCTCTTTGTAAAGTAACCGGATAATGGCTTCTTCTTGTTAATGGTCTTAATATATACACATATTTATCTTCATGAGCAATTATTCCATCACTTTCCATCAAAAGCATGCAACATTTCCATAAGCATTGTGACATTGTCCCTATTGGGTGCATATGGTTTTTGTTATTCTCCAGGCTTTTAACATATTCAAGAAAATCAATATCAGTTATGCAAAAATGTTTCAATTAATGATGTAATAAAATGTTTCTGTGGTTTTTAATAGTATTTATCTTAAAGACTGTGAGGATAGTATTTTAGTAGGCAATCAACAAAACGTTGAGAGTGTGCTACCAGAATAAAAGTACTTTGTTTCATTATGCATGTTCAGAACCAGTTATTTTTTCCCATTTAACAGCAACTCTTCATAATCAGTACAATTACAGACCATGCAATGTTCTCTTAAATATGAAGTTAGACCTGTAAAATTAGATGTTGCTCCCTAAAGTTTCATGTTAAGGGTAGATCAAGGCTGAGATCAGATTGTCATAATTTCCATAACATTAAAGTGTACATTTACATAGTCCTAGGATTTGAAGAGACATGTCCTTTCTTTCAAAGGCTGACATAGCACTGATTGGGATCTCAGCTGTACTGTATAGCATTCAACTATGTGGAACTCCAGTAGTTCAGTGAAAAAAAAAAGTTCAGTGGAAAAATAAGATTTAGCACACAGCAAATACCATGTTTACAACTTTGCTACTTTCTTTGAATGAAAACAGAGCACTACCCAGAGTGGCTTGCATGTGGAAAGAACAACCTCATGTGACTCACTTTGATGTGCAAGGATATAATTCATACTACAAAAGCTTCTTTATCCCATAGTTATCCAATTGATTCCTTATGCTGGTCTTTGTTAATCATTATTTATGGTGCCTGGCTGCAAATAAGCAGAACTGGACTATTAAGGGCTTCCCATTCTCCTTGAGCTGGATGCACACTCTTATTCAAATATGATATAACAAAGAATCCTGGAATATATTAATCACTTCCACTGAATGCCTTATGATGAGGAAAGTTAAATATATGTTAATCATAAGAAAAGAAGCATAGTTGAAACAGACACAGGTTTTATTATATTACATCAGTTGTGGAGTAAACACTGAAAGAAAGAATTACAAATATTTTTTCATATTTTCTTGCTGTTGTTCAGACTTGTATGTTCTTCAGCATGGTAAAATTGATAGAAGGGTAATAAATGCACAGTATAATTGATAGAAGGGTAATAAATGCATCTTTATGGTTACATTTATATGATGATGCATATAACTATAACTTTATGCATTTTTGAATAATCTGGAAGCCTTGAGGAAAAAATAGTGTCAAGATAACACAGTAGTAATATTCACTAATATTGCTATAGGTCTCATTTGAGGTCTTTACAGCATTAAATAGTAAATCCCCCTTTTTTAGAATACACTGAAATAATGCATAGTTGCCTGTAAGGAGAAAAACCATTAAATTTCTTCCTTTTACTTGAAACACATTCAGATTTTTTTACATTAAACAATTCATGTTTACAATTAATAGAATAGCTTCTACATTTGGATATGAGTTACACAAACTGGGTTCTGAGTGAGCACAGCTAACAGTATAAAACGTTATTACTTGGGTTTCTACATCAAATGACTTGGTTAAATATCCACTAGCTCAGTGTTTCTCAACCTTGACAATTTTAAGGCATGTGGACTTCAACTCCCAAAATTCCACAGCCAGCATTGAGCTATTAGAAGCAGTTGGTATGTAGCATTTTATGTTCAATTGACATGGCATTTTTGAGTTCTCATAGTCCCAAACTACACCTGTGTCACTCAGCATATGTAGAAGGCACTCTATTAATTGTTAACACAAATTGTTTAACCAATAAAATCAGAGTATATTCCAAGTACTGTAAAAGAAGAAAATATAATGATCATACATATCTGATACATATTGTAGTTTTCTGGATATATTACAGTATTTCATGAACAATAGGTAGAAAATTATTGATGATTAGGTAACTGGGATCCCTGGCTCTTATAAAGTCCCATTTGCTTATCTGTATGAGATACTTTGTCCTCATAACTTGAGCAGCTGGAATTAATTTGAGGTTACAGGTGAATGTTCAATGAGGAATGTCTCAGTAGTACTTAAAAAAGTTCTTCAAAAGAGAATATTTGGATTGGGTTAGACAAAGTTAATTTTCTTGCTTAATCTGCCTTCCTCTGTTAGATTCAATTCAATTCGATTCAATTTCCATATATGAATACAGTATTGTTCCAAACTGTGACATGCAAAAGACTGAACTCTGGGAAAGATTCATGAATTAGAAATTGAAATATAGAAACACCAATTGTTCCCAATCCACTTATTTCCTGCAATTGTTTCTTATTTAAAGTATACAGCTCTCAACATTGCTTTAGATACTAGATTTTGGTATCCTAATATTTGAGGAGAGAGGGAAAAGAAATTTCCCTCTTCTCAGCCTTTCAGAAATACAGTATACTACAAACAATTTGTACTTCTTTATCATATGAGAAGAATCACCATTTAGTGATGGATGCATTCCTGACATGGAAAACATTTGTATACAGGTCTTTCTGCTTAAAAAGATTAAGTAATAGATTATGTGTATCTTCCTGAATACTCTGGCTATCCATAATCTGCTAATCAAAGCAGACATTTTGAACTAGATAGATTAAATCTGACTAGGCATAAAATAACTTCTTTGATTCCTAATTTTCATGATATCTGCCAAAGAAAACTTAGAATATAGTTTTATGAGATATTGAAATGGTCCTAATGAGTTTTCCCTAATTTGACCTTACAAAACCTAACCTTCTAAATGCCTTTTAGAAAGGAGGCAGCAATATCTAAAGCAGTTTACTCACTTTTATTAATATAGCCTGTCTTGAGAATTTCTTGAGTCAATTTTGTGATCTGTAAAAACAATAGAGCTGGTGTTAGCATATTAATTGCATAATAGGATTAATTTAAGTGATAATTGAAATAGTTAAATATCCCAAATAATATTTGTTAGACATCCTTTCCATTCTTTTTTCATTATAAACCAATGTCTGCTATTTACTACAAGAACACTAAATAAAGATCAAAGTGTTGGAAATGCAGCTTTTCCCCAACCAGTTGGCCTTTTAGTAAAAATTCTAAAGATCTAAATCATATACAAAGAGTTTCCCCTTTTAAAAAGAAGACAAGTTGCTTCCCCATCTTCTTTTGTATAATGCAAGGGTTAAGAAAAGGAAATAGAAATTCTTCAGATGTAAATGTTCTACAGATACTAGAAATTAAGGGCAACATAGCATGTCCTTTGAAGGCTTTCAAATAACTTCATCTTTTTCAAGGATCATGTACCAGTTTTAGTTCTCAGGATGCATGAATGAATATTTTTATTTTATATAATTGACCCCTTAGCATGATTGCTCTTTAATTTAATATAGATGAAGGGTCAAATTACATATAACATCAGGTCTTTGTACATTTTAAAAATAACTGCCAATAGGAATGCTAATTGCTGAAAATACAGCAGGTGGGATTTAATTATTTTACCTCAGTTGCAATTTTAACAAAAATGACTCCTTTGTAGCTGTTATTTCTACTGGGATTGAAACTCTCATTAGCCCTTCTCCGAGCAGCTAACTATTTCCATTTTTAAAGAAGAATTATATATTTAATGCAAAGATGCAATTAAGGATAATGTCAGAACTTATTCTAGCACAATAGTTCTCAAAATGTCACCAAGACCATTTCAGGAGATCCATAAAATCAAATAAATATTTTAAAATTTCTGTTTTAATTTCTAATAGAGTAAATATTGAAAAATAAAAATTAAATTGGGTTCCTTCATTATTGTTAAGAATATAAGGGGGTCGTGAGACCGAAATGTTTCAGAACCATTGTTTAGCAGTCTTACATTAAAAATTAAACAATTCAAAGATTACAGACCATGTCTTGCAAAACAGACATTGTGCAGCTCACTGTTCTGTGAATAAATATTGTGATTAATACCACAAATCAGAATTTTAATGGAATGTCAAAATGATTTTGAGAAAGGTATTGTTCATCATCTCTGCATACATAGACTTTGTTCCACTTCATTTCTTTATATAGTTAAAAACAATCACTACCACAAGAGCAGAAACAATATAAAAATCTGAAAAACTGTTTACAGGAGTCAAGATACAATCAAAATCCATGCTATGAACTTGAGTCCTTGACTCTCTAAAATAAAATGTTTTCTATCTAAATTAGCACCTGAGTAGCTACCCTCTCCCACTTCTCCAAGGGGACTAGAACAACTTCCTTATTTATAAGCTACGTTGATGTTAATCCCTGGAATTTATGATCGAATACCCTTCCCAATTTGGTGTCCTGAAGAATGTTTGACTTCACGTCAATATTCCTTAAAAAATGCACTCCTAATGATCATTGGAGTTGAGGTCAAGCAAATCTAGAGAACGAGTTAGACAAATCTACTCAGTCTTGGTGCTTATTCTAAGGTGTTTCTTGGTTTATTCCACTTGCATATATAGAATTTCTATTAGAAACATGATATTTATGAGATGACCGCAACCCAGTTTTTAATTTCTTAGTCAAGGATTAGTCAATTTCTTAGTTACAACTGGATAGACTGAAATAGCTCACCACAACTTTTTTTTCTTTGTTTCAGTCTTAAAAAGGAAGTGTGATGTAGAACAATCATGGATTCCTCAGTTCTTTGTTTATCCTCCTGCCACTGGATCTTACTTTTCAGCTCTAGTATATTTTTATATTTACTTTTACATTATTTTCTGTTAAAAGCTCATCTAAACTGGTAATGTGTAAAACCACAATGTGGTATATCTTAACACTTTTTCACCCTGGTAGAGTAGAAACAGTAACCTAAAAGAAGCTTTTGAATCAGAATAAAATCAATGTATCACCCGCTTCTGGGGTTTGTCATTTAAAGGCATTCCTACTGATTTAATGAAAATAGAAAAACAGCTTATAATAAGAAATTCTCCAATAGTTCTGCTTCAGTCATTCTGATATCTCTTGGGATTTTGTCACACACACACACACACACACATACACACACACTTTTATCTTTTTCAGTTGAGATACTGATGAACCAATTTTCAGCTCGTCTCAGATATTGGATCCCAAATAACTGCAAAATAGCATCCGCAAGCTAATTTCTAGGACTTAGCAGGCAACCCACAGACAAAATCTGTACACATATTTCTAAATTTTCTGAAAGGAAAAGAAAGATACAGTACATTCAAACAATGGTTTAGTCACAAGATAAACAATTAGGCCTTTAAAAAGTAATGTGACAATTGTTCTGGTTTTATTGTCTATCATTTTTGTTATTTCATGCAAGAAAAAAGAACTGTCTTAAAATTGATGTCTTAAACTCAGACATCATTAATTGCTTTTAAGTTTCTTCTTTGTCAGAGCATGTCAGGTTTTTTCTTCTTCATGCCATTTGGAGAACAATGAATGGTCTAAAACATTCCTTTTATACAATCCAGATAATGGCCCTTCTTGCATTTGGGAAGTGCCTTATACCAAGTGGCAAATGTGCCTTATTCTTTGCAGAAGCATAACACATCCATTTTACCCTTAACATCTCTCAATCCAATGTTCCTTGGCTCCACTGACCTTTGCCATGCTGCCTTCAACATACTCTGCAAAGTACTATAGTGCAGCCCTTAGCCCAATATAACTGGAACTGGTTTTGTGAATAGATCCATTACTATTTGTGAATTGCTACATGATTGAAAAGATGTTTTGATATCATGAAAATATGATTTTGTTTGTAAATTATTCTTGTAAGTTGATTTACATAAACTTAAAATTTGTACATTAATGCAAAATATACAAACAGAACTTAAATCCTATTAGGGCTGAGCTGCAAAAGCTGAAAAGGTGTTGGGTTTAAGCTCCCATGCTGTCTGAATAACCTTTTCATCAGAGATGTTTATGATGATGGACAAGGAATTAGGACAATCCAGATGCGATTGACTCCTAATTCCCTGTTCATCATCATAAATATCTCTGAATTTAATTCATTTGGGGAGGGAAAGAAGCAAATACTACTGTGTAAATGAAACAAAGAATCTCTTACGCCCATTACAAAATTATGAATAAATCCAAATGCTAATTAGCATCAAAATATTAATTGAAAAAATGATTACATTTGGTTTTTTTTTTACTGAATGAGGCTTACTTCAAAACATTTTAAATGAATATAAGCATAAAATATAAAATAATCACATCATAGCACCTCAAATGGAAATATTAAGATTAAACAGGATTATTAAAATGGTCTACGTATTAAAAATGTTGAATCTCAACATTTTCATGCAAACCAATGAAATAATTTTCATTTTTATCTGCTGAGTAGTGATAACCAAAAGGTTACCACTAAGAGGGAAAACACAATAATTTAAAGCCAAAATATACACATTTTCTTATGAAAGAACTTATTCAAACAAAAGAAAAGTATTTTTGGGTAGGATATCTGGAAAATTTACTGGTTTGTAGATTATAGTTTTTGACATGCTTAGCATAAAGTAAAAAATAAAAGATAATATTTTGATGTCTGAGACTTAGCTGTTGAAAAACAAGATTAACACAGAGAGATATTTTACTTACTTCATAATGAGAAGACTAAAAAAATGTGACTGGACCAACTGTTCTGAAAACAGAAATATCATATTGTTATGAAGGAATTAGTAACAGAAATTTGTTTGGGAACCAGTTAAATTTATTTGGAGGAACAAAGAAAAATACTATGTATGTTCTAGGTAGAACCAACTGAGAATAACATAAAATTTTTAAAATGATTTTTGAATTCATTAAAATAACAGTTTTTTGGCTGCAGAAATTAAGTATTATCAAAAAGTCAGTAAATAAGAAACCCTTAGAAGAAACATGAAAGATGTTTTATTATTTCCTGGTTTCACCTTAGATACCCTGAATAGATCCAAGACTGTCCAATCAGATTTGGGTTTACATGTTCATTATTTCTGAAAGCTAAGTCAAATTCATCCACTAAACCTTATGTACTAAAGGACTTTCTTCAGAAACATTACATTATGCAAGGATTACGTATTATAGTTGGGAGGCTGTGGTCCGTTTTTTTCTTTCTTGGTTTAGATGTTATTGCCACCTATAAACGTCATCGTTTCTAGCTTATGTAGCATAAAGTCTTATGATTCAGTGTTCCATTGATTTCAACTGAACTTTGCTCTAAATGAATATTCAGGAAAAAAATGCTTAAGGTAATAAATAAAGCCAATTGGACAGGGTTTGGGATGAGACCAAAAGTTTATTATAAACCTTGGGATTCATATTCAAAAAGGATTTTTGATTAGTGATTCTTGAATAGTAATTGATTCATCCTGCAGATTAATAAACTACTTTTGAAATGGGGTCATTTTGATGTAATATTTGTACTTGTTTGTGGTCAAAGGTACGTCTAAGCACGTGAGTATCTTCATGCAAACATACGTAAAATGTATCTTGTTAAAAAATGTGAAGAGTTCCCACGATTAGCAAATGAAATGAGAAAACACTATCAACTATTTCAGTTACTTAGAAGGTTAATTCTAGGTCCATACTTTTCACTATTGCAGCTGCAAAACTAAGAAAAGAATATTGTATCTATAGACTAAGGATGGGATTCTTATGTGAAAAGTGTAGGTTATAGATAAGACAACTATTTCTCAGAAAGAGAAAAAGAAGGAAAGCAAATCTATTACAAAAAGTATAAAGAAACAAGAAATATTTGTTTACCATCTCAAAATAGATGCATCATAAGTCAATCTAGACTTTTTAAAATGTTGTTATTGAGTATGGTGATTTTCCCCTCCCAATATCCTCCCTTCATGCCTTCAACAAGAAATTCCTACTTGGCCATATCAAAGTGATTGCTGGAAAAGGAAATGAATGATCAAAAGTTAGATGAATGTCTTTGTTGTAACAGGCTTTCCAGTTCTACTAGGTCTTTCCAGAAGTGTACTGTAGCGGCAGGTATTATAATTCATTTCAGAACAATACAGAAATATAGTTTTTGTCCCACCCCACTGTATAACAGCACACTAAAGAAAAAGAGGACATTTCAAATTTGCCTCTATGTCCAATTTCAGAACTGGTTTAAAATTCACATATATGGTATATATTAAAGGCTGACAGCAATGGAATTGTCTAAACAAATTTAGCAACATTGTCATGTTTTTCATTCCATCAAGATCAGGCATATCTAGAAGAGATCCAGCTTATTTATCCAAACAAAACAAAGTGTAATGGGTAGCAAACTAGCAAATGAGAGAACAAATAGATTGAAATGCCACAACATTTTTCATTGATGGAAAATTTCTCTTAACAAGAAAATAAATATACGATAGTCTCACACACCACATATAAACATATTTAAAAATGTTTAAAATGGTCTGGAGCCAGCCCTTTTTTAAATTTTTAGTAAACAATTATTTGTATAAATAAGGTATAAGAACATACATCATGCTGGAGCAGATATGGGTGCAGTGGCTTTCATCAATGAACTTTCAAAACAAAAACAACTTGTTCACTTTTTTCTCTCCTTAAGCTGGCATGTAATGAAAAATAAATGCAAAATTTTAAATAAAGACCATCCAGTCTTTTAAATTAATTTTAAATTTAAATTAATGCATCATTACTATGATCTTTTCCTGCATAGAATGTCAAATAAGAACTTGTTTGAAAAGAAACACAAAATGAGCTCAGCTTCCTCATAATTAAAGCATTTTCTACATTTCCATCTAAAAAAAAACAAAACAACAGATGGGAATGTTAAAGTCAAAGTGACCAAGCAACTATGTGCAGAAAGTAACCCTTTTATTATATTATATATTGTAGTAGTAATAAAGTTTGCTGGAAGTGCATGAATAAAAAGTTAGTGAAATTACAGGAGAAACAATCTATATAGCAATAATAGGTGCATTCACTGTGCATCTGAAAAGAAAAGAGAGAGAGAAAGAGAGTTTTCACTCATTTTGGCCTAAAACTTGTGTTCAGGTTTCCAGAATTCTGACATCAGAACCCAGATAACACTGATTAGAACCATAAGGCTTTACAATAAAAGCTAAAATATTGACCATATGATGGCAAAAAAGTCTTTATTTTGTGGTTAACTTATTCTCTTCTAGCTACTCTCTGATGAAGTGGGTGGTGCTGTAGAAGAAGACCTTCGTCTTCTAGACAAGGACCTTGATCGTTCTGCACTGTAGGTTACATGCTTATCATAATTTTGTATCTGAGCTTCGAGAAATTCCCTTTGCTGCTGGCTTATTGTCTGGCTAATCAGTCCAGGGAGAGCTTGGATGCTACCAATTAAAGTTTCCAGTTTTGTTTCCAGAGTAACAATCCTCTTCTCAAAGTCTTCACTTCGTTCATTCAAGTCAGAAATCATATCATACATGATGTTTTGAGTCTAAAAGGAGAAAGAAAAAGTGAAAAAATTACGCAAACCAAGATTTTTCAGTAGTATTTTCAAAAGTTCAAGTTTCACTCATAGACAAGGAGAATGTACACAAATAGATTCACAAATGGAACCAACCTATTTTACAAAGGTTTTTTTTTTTTTTGCTAGCAGTGCTACATACTGCACTGAACTGAGGCTATTCATTTTTGGTGGAGCACTTCCACATGTCAAGCACGAAAAATCCTTCAGAAGGATAAAGATACACAAACGTGAATTGTGCGTGTGGAGAAATCTATTTATCCCAGAAGCTGTAAAGATTCTCTGCCTGTGAAATAGATTTTAATAGATCAATTGTTTCATTTTTTCTCCAATATTAACAGAAGGAAAATGTTAATTTTTCCAAAGGTCTCAGTGCACATTATGCAGTAGTATTTTTTCCTGTTTTCTATATAACACAAAATGATTCCTTAAACTCTGCCCCACATTCCCCACTTTGTCTCTTGGCTATGTGGTATTCCCATTCTTTTTCCCAGCCAGGAGCCAACTAGGGGTTTTTACTAAGTCTACCATCTGTTATATTGTATAATTCCTCTAACCTGGAGCAAAACAGGAAATTATGCTCCTCTTTGATTGAAAAGAGATGCTGAGTACAATAATCAGATAGGTAAGCCTTGTAGGCAATGTGGTACTTAAGGATTTAGTCTAAGAAAAGGCAATGCAATAAATGCAAAAATAAATGCAAAAGTATGGTATTAATTGAAGAAGCCCTAGCATATATACAAGTCAAAATAACAACCTAATGCAACTGCCTGATAAGGTCATTTCTGTCACTTGGAACCTTTGGGTTAAAACAAACAAAGCAAAGCAAAATCCTTTTGATTAATCAGAGTTGAACCTTCTCCTTTACCACCATACAGTCCCAACAACAGAGAGTCCTAATAGCTGACAGGCCTTTCCTCAGTTTTCTGCCTCCCTTTACCTTACACAACCATTATAGTTTGTACATATTGAGTTCACATCCCCATGCACTCTTTACATGCTCACTGTCCCAACATTAACAGCAGATTTCATTCTAAATTTGATGGATTTTGTGATCACAGAGGAGAGAGACTCTGGATAACTCAGTTGCCATGGCCAGCTAATAGTCTGGTCAGCTTTGAGATGATTGCTGATATAAATCTTCACAGAATAGTGAGCTGGTTAAAACATGTCATCCCAGGAACTAGTTGGATCTAAATGGCTTCCTTAAGGGGCCAGGAGATTTATCTTCCCTTTTAGGAATACAGAATGTCCAGGAGCACGTACTATTGCTTCAAAACATCCACATCTCTTTTATAAAGCCATATCAGTTAATTTGGTTTGATTTACATCCTGCCTTCTATTGAGTCAAGCAGCATGTTAGCCTTAATACTAATTATGTTGCTGTTTTAATAGGGAGTTGAGGGCAATGAACCAGAATGAAACATAAGGATGACACCTCAAAATAAACTGAAGTGCTGACTACAGCCTTTTCTATAGCAGTATTCCATGTTAGTGAAGGCAGAGAAAAATGTACAGAATAGGCCAGAGTTGCTGTGTGATCTCTCTTTCTTCAGGAGGGTGCCAGAGAAGTATGGTGCTTGTTATCTGCAGTTTGCAATATAAAGTAATTCAAATTCAAATTCAACTTGACCTAAACTTCAGTGTTGGGGCAGAGGATTATGATGTAAATTGGCAGCTCCTTGTCATAAGAGTTTTAAGTTATTTTCATTTTGAGGATTTGAAGGATACTGACAGAGTGTTTGAAAAAATAAGGGTTACCTCCTGCTATAACCCTATCCACCCAGCTGCTTAAATTGAGAATAAAGTCAGCCTCAATGCTTAAGGGAGATAATTAAGGCTTCTCTGGAGGATGGCTACATTTTTTGTGTCAGAAAAAAGTAATGATAAATCTACTATTAAAGAAACCTTCTGTTAAACACAAAGAGCTAGAAAACTATCTACTTCAAACATACTATTTCCGAAGATAATACTGTCTATGAGAACTTCAAACACATCCAGAGAATGCTAATTATATGCAGCAATTTCAAATAGACTTTCAGTCAGAAACTGCTTTGGGTACCTTGGATAACACATCATGATTTTCTTAGGAATTCTTATGACTTTTTCGTGGGTATCCAGGCAGTCACCAGAAGTCAAGACTGGCTCAAAGGTACATACCGGTATACACACAAAAATCGATGAGGCCCCAGAGCCTATGTAGGTTTAATTCCAGATTCACTTATTTATATATTAAGTTTATATCCTGCCTCATTCTGGATGTCCAGAGGTGCTCCATACACACTATCTCCCTTCTCAATTTTTCACACCAAAACCTTATGAACTATATTGGACTGAGAGAGAGTGACTGGTCCAAAGTCAAGCAGTAAATTTTCATAGCTGACAGTGAACTAGCACCAGGGTCTTACCAGTGCCAGTCCAATTCCTTAATCACTACCTCCCACTGTCTCTGAAGTTTTCTAATTATATATTGAATCAATTTATACTGAATCTCAAAGCTCAGAAATGAATTAAAGTTGATAGACAAAAGTAAGAAAACATACTGTTCATTTATATTGTTGTACCAACCTTTGCCAAGTCCACCAAAGTGTTTGCCTGATCGTTCAGTTTCCTCTGTTCCATTTTAACACTTCTTAATCTAAAAGATAGACATTAAAGTCAAATATCTCTTATTTGAAAGATCATAAAACCTGTATATGGCATGCATCTAAACAAATAACTGCATGGACAATGTCTTGAATACTTTGTGTACAGTCATAACTGGTTATGTGTCTGGGTACAATGAAGAGCATGCTTCCTTAACACCGCAAAAAAGAAAGAGAGAGCAAGAAAATGTGATGTCCCCGAAACTACTAATTGCCATGGTTAACGCTGACTTCAGAGAGAGAAGTAAGGATTTATCCATAGTATATGAAAGAAAGCCAAAACATTCCTTAAAGCTCCTGTATCCTAGCAAGTAGCCATAGGAAGTAATGAGTAATCTCCTCATTGTTACCTTAAGTAACATTATACTTCTTCCTTATGCCTACATGACTAGATACAGGTAAAAGCCCTCTTCAGTCTGAAATGGATTTGGTTAGGAGGTGTTTGAACCTGATGAAAACACAGTGATAAGTGAGTTCCTTCTCAATATTTAAAAACTTTTATCTGACCAGCAGCTAAATGATGCCCTTGTTAATATGTTAGTCATTATTATATTATTAATAACATATTATGTTAATATGTTATTATTGTCCTTGTTGCTGTGGCTCAGCTAAGGACTTTATAAAAAAAATCTGCATGGGTAAAAATTTTAATTGGTTTTGTAAGCCTGTTTATCTGTCAGAGAGTAAACTGGAACACTAGGCAGATCAGATGGGTATACTGTAAAAGAGACTCCTGGGTATATCCTTCCCTTGATACTTAAGTCATTCCATTCATGTTAATTAGCTGAGCATGGTAAGAAAGGAAAAACAGGGTATATTATGCTGCATTGTAATAGGAAAGTTTGTGCTCCAAGTCTATGCCCCAAAGAGGCTGACTTGAGATTGACAAAGACTGGCAGCTCCTTTGTGCTCAGGATTCAAAATGGGGGAGGACAGAAATAACTATTTTGTGGTTCCCTCCTCCATGCACACTGTTTTTAGTGCAATTCCCCCCCCCCAAATTTTCCTATTCACACCAAAGTACATTCAGAGCTTTGATATGCAAGCATTCTTTAATTTGATCAGAGAAAGCACTTTTATATGTAGTTTCTTTGTGCACAGGAACTGTTATCTCTATCAAAGTCAATATGGAAATCCTGCAGGTAAGGACAGTCTTTAGGTTGGAAATCAATGGCCACAAAGAACTGCTTGAAGGATTATTTCCTAGGTGGCCAAATATTACCACTAGGCTGTACTGGCAATAAAGGCATCTGTGCAAAAATCTACAATCCACGGTTTAAATACATTACCCACTCTGATAACTGCGTGAGAAGTTATTCAGTCCATAACATAGTTCTCATTCGCCACTGTTCTGTGCTCTTTGGTTTTATATTTATATTAAAATCTATATCACATTAAAGAAATACAAGAAATGGATGGATAGAGATTTTACTCTGTTCTTTTTTTCAATGTCATTTTCGTCAACTCCACTGAAATTGCCTTCTTTACATAATTTGGAATGCTTTTACTAACATATTTTAATCAATTTACCTTAAAAGTGGTATTATAGCCCTTGCCCATAGATACCTATGGAATTTTTGTTCATCTTTTATTTCTTCAGAATGAAATTTGGCTGATTCACATGTCTAGAATTCAGTATCTTTCTAATTCCCTCTAAAAAGCCTGCTCAGGGCTATGCATGCACTTTGCTTGAAATGAGGATGAAAATATGGCTATAGTTGCACAAACTCATCATTACTGTCAGGAGAAAAGGCTGAACCTCATAATGTCAGGTAGAGGAAGAATCTACTGCATGAGCAAACATGTAACAAGGTCCTGTGTGGTTGTAAACATAAACCAAAAAAGGAAATAAAGCAAGAGTGCCGTTTGAATAAACACAACTTGAATATATCTTTAGGCATGTCGATATTTCTGTACAACCATTTAGAAGTCTATTAAAACTAGATTGCCAGTTATTTTTGAAGACATAAAGGCCAATTATTCATTTAGAATTGATACTCCTTCCTCATACGATATGTGGGACAAGTATGAAAAAATGTGTGTTACTAAGAATATGGATGTTCTTAGCCTTACATAACTTGTGAGAGGAAAACCTTTTTACGCTAATATTTTCTTAGCTGCAACAGTCAGATTAAAAATGAAACTAGTCGGATCTTTCTCTGTAAATTATGAAATATTGATACTCTGATTCATCCCTTCTGAACTTCACTTATCACAGAAAAAATTCATGACTTTGGATTGCAGTTCCACAGTAGCAACCAGACTATAGAAATTCACAAATAAAGTATCCATTTGTTGCATGCAGACAGAGGTAAATTCTGCAAATTTTAAAGGAACAGCTCACACAACTTACTTCCGAGCTCTATTTTCATTGTTGAAATAAAAGACAAAACAAAGAAAACAAACTGTAACATTTTCTAAAACAAATCAGTACAAGGGATGGTCTTCAAGTGAATGCAATGGGATCTGTATAGCTTGTACTTCTCACATATTCCCTATGGTGCCAGGAGACCTGTGCCTAATGAAATCTGTGCCCAACTCAGATGTAGGATAACACTGTTATATCATTACACACTCTATTGTCCCGCATTTCACCACAGCTGAATTAATTGATATCAATTCACATTCCTTGCTATACATATACAAAGTAATACAGGGGTAACATAAAAGCTTAACTTCCCTTCCCAGCATGACTTTTATCAATGGGAAAATGGATCACCATACAATAGCAATATGCTTTGTACATCTGTGGTGGAAGTTTGATCTTCCCTCCTTTTCTTAACAAAAGGGTGCTTCATTTGCTATCACCAAAAGAGCCATTCAGTCTTTGTCTTCTTGACCAGAATTGTCCTGGTAGGAAAGAAAGATAGAAGACCTGGTGGAATACTTTGGGAGAGGTGCATATGGAAAGAAATTGAAAGCTATTCCCAGTGGAGTATACAACCCGGGTCACCTGCTGTTGGTTTTATGTCACTTTCTGTAGTTTGTCACTGCCATCTGAAAGCCAGGGGTATGGCAGGGGAGTTTATCTCTTCAAATGAAAGACAAAGGGCCTAAGAGATGCTAAAGTGTATTTCTCCTAAAGTAGATGCAGAACAATGATTCCTACCCTCTCCTCCTCATTTTCTGACAGATTGAGAATGTTGTCTGTTTGGGATATGTCATCATCAAATTATACAGATTTCTTTTAACAATTGCATCAAAGACCAAATGAGAGGGCCGCTAATAGTATGAGAAGGCAGGGGATATTTCCAGAGGAAAAAGCAAGGTATTTCCTACATGTGGTAGGATTCAGTGATGCCACACAGGCATCATTGAAAGGCCAAGTGATGCAGAACTCTGCGTAAGAAAGGAAGATTATAAAAATGGTTCCAAGTTATTTCCTACTCAATAGCAGAGGAAGGACACCCTTAGACAGCAATATTTAGATAAAATATTGTTTATTACAGGAGGGAGGCTCAAACATCTTTCTTGAAATATGGACTATTCCTAGCAGGAAGCATGGTAAGTTTAGAAAACACATTTTAAAAATCACATTCTAGTGAAATAAGAAAAAATGTGTTGCAATTAATTGCCATCCTGTTCTATTTAGGGGGCAAAACATTGCTGTGAATTCAACTAGCTATAAATGTAATGATACACAGACTGATCAGCTGCTAGTTTTCTCTAGAGATTACACCCAGTTGTAAATATGTCCAACTTAATTCCATGCTTGCATGACTATAGAATACTACTATGAAATGGGATCTGAGCTCAGATATATATATTATATTTTGCAATTTTCATATCCAGTTCTTGCCTTCCAAAGTGCCTGAAGAAAATGCAACAAATTCTAATATTTTCTAAATTACAATTTTCAACTGAAAAATAAAGGAATGAAAATTTTATGTAAACGTATTTCTCAAAGCATATTTCATTTTGTATTATTGTGCCCTTATCTATATACAGCATTGGTGAACCTCATGTTTGCTAAACCAAATAAGTATTTGTAGATATTGAATTTTGCTTGAACATATTAAATAACCATTGATTTAATTCAGCCTCTTCTACTGTACTGAGGCTGAAATGGAAATAATATTACAGCTATTTAATATGGTCGAATCAATAGCACAAGAAGAAAAAGACATTTACAAAATCTATCTCCCCTTCACTTCTGGTATAATATATGTGACTAAATTCATGCCTGCCATAGTGAGAGCCACAATCAAAACATTCAATGTACAGATGTCCCACTTTCCTTTTTACTCTAGATGCAGTAAAAGGAAAAAAGAAGAAAACAAATGTTTACTGTTTGTTGGAATTATTTAAACTTATGCTAAATTGTAAATTAGCTTTATACATTACAGTGAGCTTCATGGTCTTCACAGCCATGATGAAGAGACTGGAAACTTTTGCTTTTGCTTAACAACTTTTAATAATGCCTAACTTATTAATAATATTAGTTTGATCTATTGAAATGAGTCAGTTTCAAACCACAGTTGTATAATGTCTTGTTTAAGCAAATCATAGTTAGTATTATCAGAGTCCAGATATTTATACACAACTGAAGATTATTTAAAACAGGGGGTTTTTTGTATGTAACTGTTATATAGAAACATGAGAGCACAACACTTTCTGCCCACCAAGATTTGGTATTAGGATGGACTATTTCTCAAAAGGACTATTTCTCAAAAATGGACATAAGACAGAAATATATATTGTTTTTATTTTATTTGCAAGGATCCCACAGTTCTCAAAGTTTCCACCTCAAAATCATGGTTTGTTTTTACATTTTCTATGTTAAAGTGGAACCAACAAGTTTCTTTTTTTTAAAACCAATATACATCTTATTTTAGCAATATTGCTTTTTAAATAAGTTTATCATTCCAAAGATCACAGCTTTAACTCATACAATGCAATTGGTATATTTCCAGAATCTTTAATGGCTGTAATTAAAATATTTTGATTTGAATATATTTAACAATCTCTTGAGGGTTAATACCAACATTATTTATTCTATTTTTACACCTCCCATTAAATCATAAGATGATCCTCCAGATATTCTTATCTGTCATCTGATATACTAGTACAGTTTATACTCTAAACAGTCGTATATATGATATGCATTTGCTTTTAAACAAGGAAAATAATTCATACTGAAAAGTTCTAAGTAAAGGGGATGGATATGGTTGCATGCAACATTTTTATTTCCATTCATTTTCTCATCTCCCACCACCACAAATATTCATGCCATGCCTTTGATAGCTTTGGTTTTAGAGCTGTAGGCATAGTTCTTATGTAGATTTGGCCATTCATATGAATACATATCCGCCTGCAGAAGTTGGGAGAGGGTTCTTTTTGCTTTTGCTTCCTTTCAGCAGAAATGCGTATTCAGATAGAAATAACTTTCTTTCTGAGATAAAGAGTGCTATTTATTCACGCCATTCTGTTGGAAAAAAGAATCTGCCAACATATCATCCCTCCCCACTCTCTCTTCTATTCTACCCGGCCTGCCCAAAATCTCTTTCAAAGGACAGGATCCTCTGGAGCAGATTTGGAGCATATCAGGGGGGTGGAAATAGGAGGAAGATCGAAAGAAACTCCATTACATAAAGATAAACCTGCTTGCCTAGTATCTGATGCAGTACCATATATGGAACATTATGGCATATTAAATGGAATAAACAGAAAGTCGAATTTGAGGCAGTAGTCTGGAAACCAAACCTGTGGGATTATCATAGCAGCCTCACAGGGCAAAACAGACAAATCAAAGAGTACTTACTGGTGAATAGCTTGTAAGAATTTGCGCTGATGTTTCCTTACTTTTGCATGGTCTATCTTTTTTACCAACTTGGTGTTTTTATAAATTAACCATGTTTCCCTGAGTACATTGGCAGCTGCATTTTTCACCTATTTTACAAAAACAAAATAAAACTCACATCAGGATGTCTGAATTCAAATTACATCCCTTCCAGGTTTTTCCTGGAACATATTTTCTATCATAAACATTTACAGGAGAAAATGTGCCTGAGGACGGATGTTGTGGATGGTTCATAGAAAGATAACAGCTATTCTTATTTTCTGCCTTCCTTCAGTTGTTGGTTCTTCAAGGAACAAACACCTGTTGCCATCACCTTGTTGTCTGATACATGCAAAGATGTAAGGATCAGAAAAGTCAAGATGGTGGCCATGATGATATGCAATCAAAGATTTGCTTCTATTTTATTTGTGCCACACATCCAGATATGGGTGGAGCTTCAATTGCACCATTGTGGCCTTTTTACCATACTCTGAAGACTCCCCTGTGTGATGAACATGTTGGCCTCCTGCCATATTCTCCATATGGAGGAATTTCTCCTTTATTTTGTGTTGCCATGGAGTGTTTTCTCTCCATGGGGGGGGGGAAGATGAAATAAAGTTAAAGGTTTGGAACATGCTTTACATATATTTCTAGAGAACTGATTGTAATTAAAAGTTGGAATGCAGAAGAGTAAAACAGTAACTGCTGTTTCTAAACATTTTCACTTAAAAGCGTATTTAATATTATCTGCAAACAGAAAGTACATTTCAGACATAACACTATGTACTTGTTACATATAAATAGATTCAATACATGTACTGCAATTTAAATTATTTTTTGGCTGGCACACACAGACACACACATCCCTTATGCTTATCTTTGGATTATGCCCTGAGACTTCCAACCATAACAACATCTTCAGATCTGCCAACTGGACCAAATACACAGAGCAGATTGTAGTGGTTCACATCATCAGAATGGATTAAAGGATTAAGAATGTCTTCCTTCCCTTTCAGCTCTCTATGTACACTATCATTTATAATTTCATGACTGGTATTTTCTAATGTGTGGTCTTTTTTAACATTCTTTTCAACTGTAAGATGCATTCAGTGGCAATTTCCACCAGAAAGCTGTGATGAGGAGGAGGGAGAAGGAAGGAGAGATAGGAGAATATAAGAAAAGAATGTTTTCTCTTTGTGCAGAAGTTTTTGCTCACATTGGGTCCTGTACTTAACATTGATCCTTAGAAACTGAATAGTCAACCTTCCAAACTCAGTTCTTAGAAGTATCCTGTTCAGAGAGCAGAACTAAACAAGACTTTGTTATAAAAAATATCCAAAAATGGTTGTTTATAACTTACTCTTTTAGTTAGCTGGGTATCCATCATGAAATTATGCACATGTTTTTCAGCTTTGGTAAGTTCTAGTTTTCTTGCTACCACAGCTACCACTAGTGCAGTGCATCCAGCACCCTGGGAACAGCAATAAAAGAAAACACAATCAAGGAAAACAGAATTGACCAAAAAACGGAAGGGGATCAGTTCAGTTATTAACCTGGATAATGCAGTCAATTTAGCTCAGTTATATAATGTTAACTAGGTTTCCATGCTAGAAGTCATAGTCAGGATTTGTAGTTATATCTTTTGCCTTTCCTTAGCCCTTTTTTGTCCTCTTCACAGAGTTTTTCACAGTGGAGAATGGTACAGCAGAGAACTGTTGAGTAGCCATAACAAGAGGAAATGAGAAACAAAGAATGGAAAATATTGCTTTCTTCCTATGCTTCAGTTGTCTTCAGCCTAGATTTCCAAATTAAATCTTGGAAACTGTAAATATTTTATTGAGAGAGAAAGAAACTGGAACTTAATGGGCCCATAGAAAAAATGTAGTTTGAGAATGAAAATTCTGGAAGAATTTATTCTTGCATATGGATTTGGCATTTGAGATAAAACATACAAATGCTTATACAGCCATTTTATGAAATAGATATGGATGATAAAATCTTCTCAGGTTCAAAAGAGCATTAGCATTTATACTACACCGATAATGAATATAATTGAACCATTCAATAATGTGTGATCACTGTGTCTTCATACAGAAGGTGCAATCATTTTAGGAACAAATGCAATAAAAGCAATACTTACTGAAACTTTATCTTTCAACTTTAATAAAAGTCTTAATTTAAATCTAATTAAGCCATGAATGTGAAATACTGTGCAATCTATCCTTGTACTATCTAGGAAGGTAATCTGGTATTCAATTTATGATTATTTACAGGGATAGCATATATCACTTGGGGGCTGGAATTTATATTTTAGTGAATATTTGGCATATCTGCCTCCATTAAAATAATTTCATATTTATGTGATTAAACAGTAAACATATGTTTATACTAAATTTCTTTCAGTCTCCTTTACCATTACTTTGTCAATGGAGAAAGTCAGAGGAAATTTTAAAAAGTAGCTATAGTCTCTTCTCATTCTTCCCCCAATTCACTCCCAGCTATAGTCAACTAGCAAAGTGTGGATGTGAAATTTTGCTTCTCAGAGATGTTCTCAGCATCCCACATAAAGAGAAATTAGAGAACCTAGATAAGCCTAAGCTTCATACTTTAAATAACTGTGGATCAAATATAAATCAGATATATACAATGAAAGCCTTCTTCTTCCTATATGCATACTTTTGGCTTATAACAAACTAACCCTAACTCAAACTTTGACTACGGTTTCCTAATGTATGAATGAGATTTTCTTTGAAAAGATTCTTTTAAAGCCTCCCTTATCCTTTTATAATCGCCATTAGAAGTTTCCAAATTTATGCAAAGTATAGACTGATTCAACTACTTATAAGTTTCTGCCTCCTTCAGAAGAAATTTAGCATTTATATTCATTCATATTTTGAACAAATCTATACAATATTTGCAGAAACAAAAAGCAGGACAGTACCAAATGGACATATTTATTGTCTAGCTAGTTGAGTCAGAGTGCCAGTTTACAATACATAACACAAGCTTATGAACAGGGAAAACAATAACATATAGGGAAACAAATGCGATCACGAATACTACAAGCTGCATCCACAGTTGCAATTGGATTTGTAAAAAAGACATACATGCATGCCCAGAGACTGGAGCATTATACAGATTACACCGTTTCTGATCCAGCTAGAGAAATTTGTTTAACGTTTATGCTCAAAATCATAATGGATTGGGACAAAACATTTTGACTTGAAGCTCTGTCTATGCGCTTTGTAATGCCTGTGAATGCATAGGAATTAATGGACTGAAAAATTTCTAAATGCTTTATCAAAATTATATAAACTATATAATTATGATTGACCTGTATGTTTCCATTTTCTTAATCTGACAAAGCAGGTATACTCACACATGTATGAAATATAGTTCCAGTGCACTTTGCTAACTTATTCAACCCATTTATTTGGTGATTCCAAATAGGTATAATTTCATTTCTCATAATACTAGTGAGTGGTGACATATAAATAAAATCAATGTGTTTGAATAGTTTATCTCATTCACGTATATAAAAAGAAAGATAGCACCATTTTATTTATCAAGTTTCAAAAGTGTCATGTTGTACCAAGTGCAGGAAATCAGGAGGTAAGGCAGTTCAAATGAATACAGGTTTATTGCATGCTAACACTCTTTACAAGTATCTAACAGTCAAAGCAAATTGGCAGTAAACAAAAATCTATGGAATTCAAGGAGGATGGACTTAGATCTCTTGTGGGTTCCTAAGGATTCAAGACTGATGACACGCTTGACCCTTCCCTTGAACTCAGCCTGGTCATCTCCTATACATTGCGAACTATAATTAAGCAAATTAAAATATGCAGAAGAAACAAGCTTTGAAAATTTATTTGACAGCAGAATACATTTAGGTATTATCTCTTTCCATATTGTCCTTCCTGTTATCTAAGATATTAGGGAAAAGCCCCTTTCTCTTTTTCAAGGGGGCTGAGACTTACTTGCTTGGAAAAAGAGAAAAGACCTTTTTAGTAGCTGCCCCTAAATGCTAGAATTCCGAATTTTGGAAGGTTCACTTTACCTGAAGTCCCTGTATGACTATGTGTGTGAGTGGATGTAGATATGTATGTGAATAAATCTGCGTCCTTCTCAGTTATGTAGTCCACATGGTTTCAATGGAAATCAGTGTGGGTTCTCACAATGAAAAGTCATTTAAATGATTTTGGTTTCATGATGATCATTTTACTTAGTTTCATGATGATCATCTTTAATTTTAAAGATGCTTATTACCTACTGTATCTCTTCCTAATATTTACCTTAACACCTATTCCATGATTGTTAATATTGTTTTATAAATTTGATTATGTGATTGAGAACGTAAATGAGCTCCAACAATTGTTAGTTCTCTGGTCTCCTGAATTTTATATCTGATATTTTAAACAACATATTCTTATCTTTTATTGATATTTTCATAAGTAGTAAGTAAAAATTGATAAATTGGTTAACATCAAAAAACCATACATTTGTCAATTGCCTTCTACTTCAGATTAAGCAAATGACAAACAAAATCTATCCAGACAGCAAAATAAGAAATCATTTTCATTTCTTCATTTATGTATCTAGGATACATAACTAAGCCATGTCCTTCCATCTAGAGCATTTCATTGTGCTTAATGGTGTAAGTGGTGAATTGTTATTCCCCCTCTTATCTTGCTAGACTTGTGTGTACTTGACAGAATGTAGTTGCTTCATTTCCCTAGGGATCCAATGAGGGAGAAAGTAGGTCCTTTTTGTAGACAGTGAGGGGAAATTTAGTTGTCACCCAAAATGCACAACAGTCTTCCTGATGCTTTTTATACTTTAAAATGGAAAGCCTATAAGAATTTGAACAGGTATTCCATTTGTTTCATCCTCACTAGGAGGATGGCCAACTGACTAGGTAATTCGTAACAAGAAGCAAGTGTTTCATCTGAGAGAAGAATCTCCATATTAACCTGTTATTGAACTACTGAGGAAAAATTCATCTTTGAGAAGGATATTATTGAAAGGTACAAAAAATATTATATTTTTGACATCCTGGATATATTGTCACCTAATAAAGAAAAGAGACTCCCTGAATTCTATATCTGAGGTTTCAACCTAGCTCTAATACATCTAATAAAAAGAATTGAATCGTACAAACTGCCCTTTTGTCTCTTGAAACAGAGACTGGGGACAGAGTACAGAGAGATCCTTCATCACTGTTGCTTTGATCTTTCTATCCTATTTTTGTTCAGTAACTTTTGCCTTTTTTGATGTTTCTAATGCTTTCAATAGCTTTTAAGTCAGCTTAAATCATTTTGTCAATAACACATCTGCATGTTAAGAGGTTCTTTGAGCTATGTGAGGAATTGTTCTGTAAAAGATAAGGACTACTGCAGGAGGAAATAAATTCTCAAGATAGCAGCTTAAATGATGCCTAAAAATCAGTCTGTACAAATGGACAGTATCTGGCATAGGCATATTCTTAACCATCCAAGCTTAGAAGAAAACTTCAGTTCAATCTTCAGTGTCTTTAAAGCTAAAGGAAAAAAAGCTTATGTACATTTCATTTGCTCCAAGAAGCTTAAAATTATATGGTAGGAAACAAAGCTCAAACTTTAAAAGAAAATCTTTCTTCAATAAAAACATCAACCATTGGTTTTCATTTAACTATAGCTAGATTATGCAGATGGCTAAAAAACTGTAAAGTTTCTTCTCAAATGGAGAAAACGCTGATATACTGTATACGGTAGTTATTTTCATAGTTTTTCTTTTCACTATTCTGCCTTGCAACATAGGACAGGAAGTTTGTGTTATTATACGAATGGCATGTACAATCTATAAAAAAATAATGAGGGTATTTCATACATTTATTTAATTAGAGGAAGGAACATGGCCTGCATTGATGATTTTCTAGTCGCTCCTTTTGGAGGTCAGAGAGTGAGAAAAATTGCAGTTCCATTAATGCTTTTAAAATTTTCTTTAATTATTCAAGATTTTCTAATAGCAATGATTCTCGTATGATTTATATCCCTTTTAAAGAAATATGAGCAATTTGTTGTTTTGGAAAAACTCATTATATTTTAGTACCAGCCTTGCTTATTTAGCTCTAAAATGTCATCAATCTTTGAAATGAAGAGCTATATAATCCTGGTGTTGCTACAGTGAAGATCTTGGTTTAAATTACTTAAATGCTGCCCTAGATTTCAATTTACGGTACAACCATTTGGCTAGCTTAGGATGTCTCAGAAACTTTAAGACTTTCCATGCTATTTTGCAAGTCAACTTTTAGAGTCTTGATCCTCCTGGTTGTTTTTGTTTCTTATGGAACCATGGACATTCTTCATAGGGCAGTATGTGAGTATGTATCTATAACAACAGTAAATTCTTTGGCAATATGAATCATACCAACTTATGTCAGATCTGTTTGAATAGACTTAATTTTTGTTAATCTTTAACTTTGCAGCTACTTTTAACAAAGCCTGAGCAAAGGACATCAATAGACCAAGGACATTTCAACACAGGATATTTTCCTGTGAGTGCCTTAGCTGAGATGATCAGAAGAGAAAAGATTCTTACTATGAACTTTAATATGCAAATCACCTGCATTGTTACTTTTGTCTACCAGGGATAATTTGGTCTACCAGGGATAATTTGGTTCTATATTAAATTATTTTATGAACATGATAATGATCAGGCTGAGTCTATCCCTAAATGTGAACTGTAGGGTTTTGGAAAGTCTCAAACAAGAAAAACTTGAGATAGCTATTTAGGATCTCATCATCAAAGACATAGGTTCTCATTATATGGAAATAACATTTTGGATTATCGTGACTTTTAAACTATTAATAACCTAATTATATAGAAACATGTTAAATTTATTTTAAGGCCACTTATTTTAGAAGCCATCCTTTTTCCCTATTAGGACTACACATGCTTTGAACATCTTTCAAAAGAAATACTTCAGATCTCATGTCAGCACAGCAGCATGTTGTTTTTTAAAATAGCCCCCTTTTCTGAAAAAAAAGGTGTCTCTGCTTTAAGAGTAATGTTCACTTACTCTTGTTAATTCCTTAAACCAGCAATACCTTTCTTCAAGCTCACATAGAAGTCTGAAAGAAGCTAGGCTCCTTTAATAAACAGCAAGGAGGTATTGCATTTATGAATTCCAAATAAAATTTAAACCATGAACAAATCAATTGTACCTAAATCTGCACTGCCCAAAGAGGTTCTTCCATTTGTTTAGTTCTCTTTAGTGCATATCCCAGGAAAAAAAAATATTTTAACACATCGTATCTCTTTTCTGTATCTCTGCCATTGCTTTGTACAGAATCTGCTGTCCTCTTTTATTTTCCATTATGGTAGGACTAGCTGCAATGTTAACACAGCTGTTCTTTTTTCATGAAACAAATGTCCTTTCTTATTGACATTGGGCAATTCCAAATGTCCTGCTGCACACATTTTTATCCAACTACTACAGTGCTCCAGTGAAATTAACCAGAGTTTGAATATGTACTGTGATGTAATAGACTGGATCTAAATCAGAAAGACTCTGATTCAGATGACTGAATCATGAGGTCACATTGGACAGATACCTGTGCATTAAACAAAATGCCCAGGCACCAGTTCAGTCTCTTCTTGGTGTTATATAAAGTTGAATGATATCAATATAGAATATTCTTTATTGGCCAAGTGTGATTGGACACACAAGGACTTTGTCTGTTATTACTCATTTTTTTAAAGTGTACATTGGGATTTGGTGTCAAGTTCTTGTTTTACTTATTCCCATTTCTGAAAATCTTTGAACTTATTTGATTGGACTAAGCCAAGCCACATTCAAAAAAATCTATAGAATTTCTAGAAGTCTGCCACTCTGACAAATTACCCATCAATAGACACATAGACATAAACAATATCTATATACTGTGAAAAAAAAGACAATCAACAAGGGAACAAAAAGACCAAAACACCTCCCAACCAGCAATCTATGACCATATATAAATTCCAAGATTAATATCAAACCAACGATCAAGAAGTAAACAATATCCAATCAAGAAACTACCAAATAAGCTAACAGTAAACAGCCCAACCAAATAACCTCTAAGACCACGGCCATCAATACTGACAGGGCAAGCCACTAAAATATAAACTGAGAGTAAACCCCAGTCCTTACCAGAACTGATGATGTTTCCTAGTTTGGACAATGAAACATCTGCAAAGAAACAACTAGGCTCAGAGAGTGCCAAGGACCCCTCAAAGCCATCTGTATCTGGGTCATACCTATGATAAGATTTGCTTCTGGAATTATTAACTGGACATAAGCTGAACTGGAGAGTTTGGACCCAAAAAATAATAATAAGAAAACTAATGACTATTCCCTATGTATCCCCCTCCTAGTGATATTGATTATACCTGCCTCAAAGAAATGGAGGAGGAGGTTTACAAACTATCAAAGAAGAAAAGTATGCATTGGCTGATTATGTAAAAGTCAGCCAAGAACAAGCATTGTTGCAAGTTAAAAATTGGAACTCACTGAAAGTACAGTAAGCAAAACATGAATCCAAATTAGGTAATAAAAACATGAACAGAATGCTGGCAAGGAAAAGCATTACATGAAGATAAAGATAAAACCTGGCAATGGCTTACAAATGGAACATTTAAAAAAAGAAATTGAAGGCTTAATTTTGGCTGATCAACAGCAAGCTATCTGAATTAATGCATTCAAGGCCAGAATTATATATATATATATTAAATGATTCAAAGTGCAGTGTGTGCAAAGAAACAGAAGAAACAGTAGATTATATACTTAGTTTGTGTAAGAAGAGAACTCAAACTGATTATAAACAACAACATAACACAGTTATTCACTGGAACATTTGTAAAAATTATCATGCGCCAGTAACAAAAAATTGGGGGGAACACAAGATTCGAAAAAATATTTGAAAATGAGCAAGTTAAAATATTGTGGGATTTCCAAATATAGGCTGATAAAGTCTTGGTTCATAACACATCAGATATAACTGTGATGGAAAAGAAGAAAGTGTGGATAATTTAAGTAGCAATATCAGGAGGCAGTAGAATAGAAAACAAAGATTTGGAGAAGATCATAAAGTGTCAAGATCTGAAAACTGAAATGGAAAAATAGAATAAACTTGTAGTGTTTATTAGAATACTGGGTGCCATACCAAAACATTTTGGATGGCAGTTAGAAAACAAGAGCACTGACAAAATTTCTATCTGTCACTTACAAAAGATCTGCACATATATTACACATGATTTTTACATTACAACATTGTAGGTTCTTGGGAAGAATTCAGTGTTTATGAAGACCAATACCGCATAAAGTACTGGCATGTATATAGTGTATATAATAATAATAATATAACTACTACTATAGCTATAACATTACATAAGCACTGTTAAAAATAGCAAGAGGGTTTTGTTTTAAGACTGTTCCTGCAGGCTTAGAATATAAAGTACTCAGTAAACAAAGAAAAAGAGATAGAAGAAGATTCCTGGAAAGGTTATCAAGGGTAATCCACATTTTGTATCCATACTATCTGTCTGCCAAGGACTGTTAGCAGATAGTGCAGTAATATAGTATCCTAATGAGCTGGACATATTAAAACTCAGGACATATTATGATGTTGCATTCAATATCTGAACTTGCTCTGGAAGATTGCAGATGTCATCCCAAAGATTGATTTCTGATCATTTGACAGTTCATGCTATGACATATCATTCTGCAACATGATTTTTATCTCAGCTATGAAGGAAGTTTAACTATGTGTCATTTTCTAATTGTTTTTATTTTGTCTGTGAAGCTTTTGGTTTCATTTCTATCTTTAATTCTAGCTTTAACTCATTTTGAATTATACCAATCTGAGGAAAAGTTGAATATAAATTACAAAAAAAAAGGTCCTATCCAAAGCTGCCTTTCCCTATCCCTCAAAGTCCAGTTTCAAGCCACAGAAATATTACCCACCATGATATGTAATGGTATTATTACAGTCACATATTCAGTCCTTTCCTTTGATTGCATTTTATTTTATCATTGTTACTGTGCATAGTATTTATGTATTTCTATTAGTATTTAATATACAATGATAATAACAGATGAATTACTACAAGGAAATTAATTGGTTATACATATTTCCCAATGACCCAAGAGAAACAACATAGGTGGTAGTAGCTACAAAGATGAACTTAATGTCTGAGAATCTTGATTCACAGAATGACCAACAATCTAGCTAATTAAATGGTCTGAAATTTCTGAAAAATAAGAACTAAATCCCTATATTGACCTCAGAGGAGTCTTAGGATCAAAAGCCACTTATATTAATTAGATAACATATTACAGCTACATTTAATACCTACACATCTACATTTGAGGCAGAGAAGTTTGAACCTCTCTCTGAGAATATTAATGTTTTAAATTTGCCATCTTCTCCAAGAGATTTATGTAAGAGGAAAACAAGAAAGGAGAAAATTAAGCCCATAATTTAGAATAAAATTCAAACAGAATTAATGACTTGATGTAGCATAGTTTATATATTGTATGATATATAAAATGTTATATATTTTATTGCAATCTTATACCTAGCAACTCAAAAATAATCAAAACTGGAATATCAGTTTAGGTTACATATTAGCAAATAACTTTTCCTCTTTTCTCTCTTAGAATCAACTAAAAGCTTCATAACCAGTTTTGTGTTGATAATTTCTTTTTAAAGTCATTGCAGACAGTCTGAAAATGATTCAAACTCAGAAGGCATATAGAAATTAAAGCTGTAATCACTCACCATTATTCCAGTAAGCAAGCAAACTCCTTTCCCACAGTAAGTATTAGGTACCATATCTCCATATCCAATGGAGAGAAAAGTTATTGAAATCAACCACATTGCTCCAAGGAAGTTGCTAGTAACATCTTGTTGATCGTGATACCTAAATGAAGAAACATGGTTTTTACTACAGTTTCTTTAGTAGTACTTTGGGATTCAGAATCAAAGGTATTATTGTTATGTGAAACAAAAACAAATTACATATTTTGTGGCATGGCTCACAAACAAATAAATACATTGAGTGGAAACGTAGTCCTTCCTGCTCTATATGTCAAATATACTGTACATGTATTGTTGTCATCAGCTTTGACTATGAAGATCTCTTGTTAAAAGAGGAAAAAAATAAAAGATTTTTAACAACTGAAATCATAAAGTGTGATTTCAATTGATTTGTTGACTTATTTACAAATATGTTTTGTAAAGTAGCAATCAGTCAAAAAAGTAGCAAATTAATATTAATTATTAAACATGTCCTTTTGGTAGCCTTGCAAATGCAGATGAACTAGAACAGATAATGAAGAACATCTATCTCCACATAGCATTTATTGGTGTTAAGACATCCAACTCATATGATACAAGTAAATACACAGATGTATATAATATAGACAGACATATACTCATCTAAAAAGAAAACGTCATATCACTATGCTGGTCTATGACCATAATAAAGATTTGATTGATATCATATCCCATTTTAAAGCAGAATCATTGAAATCACCACTTAACATTGCTTGAAAAAAGAACCAGTACAGTATTCTTCAGATGGGTTTTCCATGTGTGCCCCTATTTAATACCACAGAACTTTATGGCCTGATAAAATTTTAATTTTCAGTTACAACGCACAACAATGCAAGAAATAATTCATTATGAATTAAATAAAGTATTACATTTATATAATAAACAGCTCCAAAATCAGACTTGCAAGTGGAATTTCTGATATCATGGGGGAAAAAATGCTCTAAGGATTACTGCAACCGATATATTGATCCAATCATGATATTATTGTATACAACCTTGCTTCTACTTGTATAGCAATAGCTTCCCCATGTACAACTTAAATATAGCAGGTTTATCATAACAATTACTGCCTGGCAGTTACAACAAAAAGACAAGACAGAGTTTCATACGAGCCAATCTTCATAAAAATGTAAGATTGGTCCAGTGTTATATTTGACAAAATTAAGTGAGAGAATATAGGGAATCTGAGATAATGTAGTGAAGGAAGTGTCCCTGAAGATATTGCAGCTGACAATTATGGAAGAGCCGAAACAGAAATTAATTTTAAAAAATTAAAAAATGGCCCAAATATTGCAAGATCAATATGTTCCTTGGATTTTTAAGAGATTTCAAGTTATAATGTCATTCAAAACTTTAATAATAATAGTAATAATAATAGTAATAATAATAATATTGGAAGGGACCTTGAAGGTCATCTAGTCCAGCCCCCTGCTTAGGCAGGAAGCCCTATACCATTTCAGACAAATGGCTGTCCAGTCTCTTCTTAAAAACTTCCAGTGTGGGAGCATTCACAGCTTTTGGAGGCAGGTTGTTCCACTGATTAATTGTTCTAACTTCAAGAAATTTCTCCTTAGTTCTATGTTGCTTCTCTCTTTGGTTAGTTTCCATCCATTGCTTCTTGTCTTGCCTTCAGGTGCTTTGGAGAATACTTTGACTTCCTCTTTGTGGCAACCCCTGAGATATTGGAACACTGCTATCATATCACCCTTCGTCTTTCTTAGACATACCCAATTTCAGCAACCGTTCCTTATATGTTTTAGCCTCCAGTTCTCTAAACTTCTTTGTTGCTCTTCTGTGCACTCTTTCTACAGTCTCAACATCTTTTTTATATCGTAGTGACCAAAACTGAATTCGGTATTCCAAGTATGGCCTTACCAAGGCATGGTAAAGTGGTATTAACACTTCATGTGATCTTGATTCTATCCCTCTGTTTATGCAGCCTAGCACTATGTAGGCTTTTTTGGCAGCTACAGCACACTGCTGGCTCATATTTAAGTGATTGTCCACTAGGACTCCAAGATCCCTCTCACAGTTGCTACTATTGAGCAAGGTACCACCTATACTATACATGTGCATTTGGTTTTTCTTGCCTAAATGTAGAACCTTACTTTTATATGCCATCAAACCATTGTCAACTCTTAGCTACTACATATATAGATTTTTTTCCGTGACAATCTGTCCCTAACCAGATTTTTCAGCTCTCCCAAGGTTTACTCGTCACCTCTATAACTGTACTAGTATTATCTTCTTATTTATTTATCTTTCTTCCACTTTCCCCAGCATTAGAACCTTTTCCAGAGAGTTAGGTCTTCGCATAATATAACTAGCCCTTCTATCAGTTTTAAAATATATTTGAAAGTACCATCTGGCAAATCAAGCATGTCATGATGCTCCCATAGGCTATTTTCCTTATCAGTGTTTCATTTGTATACATTTGTTTCATAAAATGTATTGTTTATATCACATACTGATGATATAATGATTGACATAAAGGAAAAAATCAGAAACATTGCCTTACAGAATTTGAATGCAACTCAGCTTATCCCAATAAGTTTCAGACATTTGTTATACACACTATACACCATTTTAATGTGGCAAAATATCAAAATATAATAAAGTAGTATCAGAAGTTATGTCCATGATCTCTTTCTTGATACTAGGGTATGGTCGATCTTCTCACCTGCCACTTTTTAGATGTCATTTTGGAGGATCTTCCATCTTTCAATGGAAACCTATCACTGTTCATTTCTGATAACTTTATGCACTGATGAAATAAGCTGCCTAAACTAAATCAGCAATAATTAGCATAACATTATGAAAGATTTGAGATAGGCTTTGTTATGTCTTCTACTGAGCTTTAGAAACACAATGCGGAAATGGGTATATATGTATGAGTCTATCAAACTGTATGCAAATATGTATAATTGCTCCATACTATACAGCTCAGTTATATAACAAGAAAAATAAGACTTTTATTCATTTTTTAAATTCAAATTTGGTTCACTTTTTAATATTAATAATTCACTGTGAATTAGAAAGCCATAATTTTTCCAATTCTTAAACTTTATAACATAGTCCTTCCAAAACAAAACTTAAAAATGAGTCTATTAAAGAAAACTATATGCAAAAAATATACTAGACTAAATTATTTGTAAAACATTCCATGTTTTAGAGAAATGGGAATATAAATATGAATAAATGTTAATGTCAATTGCAAAAATGGTATATTGATTTGGAAAACATGTTTTAAATAGTGTTGTAAAATCTTTTCTGTTTCCTTTCTGTATTCAGCCTTGAAATAAGGCAAGATGAAAAATAACCCTTGACTCTAAATAATTTCAACCGAAGCAAGACACAAAAGTGATCAGGAATTAGCCAAATGTAATTAGATGTTATAGATCTCATTTACATGTGAGCAAAATTCTTGAAAACAATGTATATCATACTTGAAAATAAAAAGACTGATATTTCAACATATATCATCATAAAAGTTAAAGGACAACTCAAATAGGAAGCAGTAAAATGTTTCATCTATTTAAAAAATAAAATATATAATGAATAATGTTTCCGAAAGCTAATAACAGTGCTTGAACATTTGGATAGCAAATGCATTATATTTTCAGGTTATAGCAATTATCTTAAACACTATTAGTGTGCGACTTCAGAAAAAATAAATTAAGATACAATAGTTACATCGCCTAAATTTACTTTACCTTTTAATAAAACAGCCCATAATTTATCTTATTTTTAATTGGATTTAAAGAATAGTAAGAAACTCCTGGCAGTTGACAACACTATATCAAACCATAGTTCTTTTTCTGAGGCTGCATAATGTTAGAAACAGATTACAAAATGACTGCTTATGAATAATTTTAAAATAAACTAGCCTTTAAAAAATAAATTTTGACACAGTATGGAATACATTAACATTCTATTTTAAAAAAATTAGCTACAATTGTGTATTTATTTGTGGCCGAGTTTTCCATTGGGTTTAGTCATGATTAGAGATAGATAAATCTTTGGTCAGATAGCTACTTTAAGCTAAGGTAGTTTTCAACTTTATAAAATAGTCTGATATTTTATATTTTTTAAAATAGTAGCCTTTCCATTCCATTTTACCTTAAGAACATCAAAAACCAATTAATCTAGTCCACCAAGTCATGTTCAAATCCTGTATTAGTGATCCAAAGTCACTAGCCCTCCAATATGTTTATTTTCCTGAAATGTATTTGTTCATTTCCTGTGAATATTCATCTTCATGAAAATAATAGTGTATTGTAGGTTAATTGATTACAAAAAATGTAATCAAGTAAATATGTAAGCAAAACTACCTAAGTTTACTTTTGTCTAAACCAAAATGAAAATTTTATTTAAAGGAAATAGATAAATGCATTCAGTCTTATAGTAAGGTAAAGGAAAGAATAGACTTTGTTTCCAGATAATGTCAACAGTTTTGGTGGGTAAAAACAATGCAACTCTGCAAATGCAAATTTCAAAATTAAAAGTAAATCAGAAACTAGCCCAGATTGGAAAAATCTAAATATATGGAAAAATAAAACACTGATGGAAACTGAAATTGACATGTTTATACATCTCTATCAGACAATGTACTAGGTCCCAGTCCTAGCAGCAGGTTAATTTTTACCCTTTTTCTTAAAACCAAAAGAACATTAGCACAATTTTAACCTTTTGATATAGCTTACCTCTGATGAATTGTCCAATATTATAGGTTAATAAAGAACATTGCATTGATTTGAAAAAACAGAACACAAAGACATTGTTGGATCTTTTTGACAGAAATGTTTTCAACCATTTACCTAACTCTCTCACACATATTGTGGAGCTTTCTCCTGCTCTATTCCCTTTCTGATAAAAGATATACCATTACGCTTTACTGCTTTGTCTTCAAACAAGGACACAGAGCAAACCTTGCTCACAATCAAGCAATATTCTCATTTTCCACAGTACCTTGCCCAGCTTTTTCTCCTCCATTTTCTGTACATGGTTGTTTTGGCTTCGGGGGGGGGGGGAAATAACTCATTAACTATATTTCCCCTATTATCATCCAGGAGGTTTCCATCTGTG